TGGCGATAATGTGATTTACAATTTATCAGTTGACAGCTTTTTCATATTTGTAACGAGAACCGAGATAGATAGGCTCAAAGATGGTAGTGTAGTTTCTCTCTCTCTCTCTCTCTCTCTCTCTCTCTCTCTCTCTCTCTCTCTCTCTCTCTCTCTCTCAGTAGACATCGTTGATTTTTTTTCGGAATTCTGAACCAATTGGTTTCCTGTTATTTCTTCCTCTCCAACTTCCGGTCATTCTCACACTTTACTCATTGTTTCTCAAGTATGCGGGCGGGCCCATGCCTCGCCTTTTTTTGCTTTTCAAAAATTCAAAGTTTATTTTTTTCTAGTCTGCAAAATCATGTGTATGCTCCTTTATTTCAAAAACCATCATTGAATTTTGGAATTCAATTCCAACAAAAATTGTGCTGAATTTTGAAACAGAAGCCGTAATGAGTGTCTCTTCCGAATGTGACGTAGTGTTGGTGTTGAAAATTTGCAAAAACAAATTGCAGAGAAATAAGAAATTGGTTTCAATTTTTTTTGTTCTTCACTCACTGGAATTTGAAAATATAGAGAATAATAGATGATAGCTTTCTTGGAAGGCGAAATATGGAAATTTTATTTTTACTGATCTGTGACCCTTTTTGGAATTTAGAGCAAAAATTTAGAACAATAGCTTGAAAATTGAAATTTAGTTTTTTAGATATTTTTTCTACAGAACCCTCGCGAAGAGTTGAACTCGTGAGGGACATATCTGGAATATAGCGTCGCTACTGGCTGCGCGAAACCCACTGATCGCCCACATAAGCTCAGCGCGACTTCGCTTTTTAAACTGTTCCCCAAACGTTTTGCGTCTCTAACCTCGGAAACTTCAAAAAAAATGAAATAGATTTTCGATTAGTTATGAATGTAGAAATCAAAAAAAAATTTCTAGATATTTAGCCACTCTTGGGAGTTGAACTTATGAGGAACCGCTTAGGGGTACAGCGTCGCTGCCGTTTGAGCTACGCGGCGCGATTTAAACTGTCTCTCCTTTAAGATCTCTATTTTTTACTGCAAAATCAGAAATTTACAGTTCAGACATCTGACCCAAAACATCTTATTCAAAAATGTGACGTTCCGCTTGGTCGCTCTAATTTTCGGTTCACCAGAAGTCTACGACAGTTTCTATTCTTAATCATGAGATCCTATTTTGATAATTTCAAAAATCAGTTTATGAAAAAAAATTATTTTTCTCAAAATTCCGTTCATAGAAGCCCCTTGAAAATTGAACTTTTGGGACGATTATTTAAGGTGGGGCACCGCTACCAGTTGAGCTACGGAGGCGAGGCTAGCCATGAACGCGAAAAAAAGCTTCGAAAATCTCCTGAAATCATTTTGGGGGCGGGGCCTGTTTCCTCAAGCTCCGCCCATTTCCCCACTGCACCCTCCCTTTCTTCCTTTCTTAGGTTTTTCTTTTAGATTTATTTAAGTTTCCCATGTTTTTTTCTTAGAGTCCTTCAGGATATTTTCTGAACCAGATGATGTTATTTTTCATTATTTCTTAGTTTTTTAAATAACCGAAAACATCCTGTACAATTCGAATTTTTAATTCAATTTTGAAAACAAACCTTACTGACCCACTATTGAGCCGGAACTTGAAGCAATTATATTTTTTTAAGAATATAGGTCAGAAAAAATCCCAGCCCACATTTTCTTTAGTCCTAATCTTTATATATTCTTCCAACTGTGAACAACAGAATTAATAGAACAAACGTGTATTTTTTCAAGCGAAGACAAATTTTGCTCAATGAGCTTATGTTTTTTTCTTAGACTATCAAATGATAATGACGCCAATAGATACATTACTTTAGGTGGGAAGAGGGTTAGTCCAAAAAGGGAATAGAATAAGGTACAATATATAAGAAGTAGTGAATTTCAAAATTTTTAGTTTTCATCGCAAAACACTTCGATTTCCAAAATTTCTGTGAAGTTTCAGTAATTTCGCATTTTCTTTGTAGAGCGAAAAAAAGCGTGTTTTTTCACATAATAAACGATCAGACTGTGCAACTGGTATTTTCTGACTTTTTTTCAAGGTTCGATTATTTCTGTTTTCAACTTTTCATACTTTCTATTTTATACGTATTATAATCATTTATTAAAAATACAAATGGTTCACAGAAATATAACGTTTCAATTTCTGGGATTTTTCCCAGAATTCGAACGGTTCGAGTTCTGGGATTTTGGGGATATTCACGTGATTCACAGAATTCGAACGGTTCGAGTTCTGGGATTCCAAAAAAAGAGAAACGAATGTGGAAAAAGGGGGCATAAAAATTATAATGATGGGAGATAAAAACAAACATGGAGGATCAATGTTCTCGCAAAACAACAAGGACAATTTTGAAGATTCAGTTTCCAGCTATGGAAAGAAATGTACGTAAAGTTGAATACTTGAATTATCTTTGGCTTTGCAGCTTATCTAAGAACGTTGCAACTTATCAAACAAAAATCATCATCTACCACGCCATCTCACGGAAACATTGATTTTGACACTGAACACACGACGATTCTGCAATATTTGAAATCTCAAGGATTCAATGCTGGAAGAATGCCACCGAATCCAGTTGTTACGGATGACATGATAATGGAAAACTAGCACACTTCTTCATGTTTCTTTTGTTTTTATCTCCCATCATTATAATTTTTATGCCTCCCTTTTTCCACATTCGTTTCTCTTTTTTCGGAATGCCAGAACTCGAACCGTTCGAATTCTGTGAATCACGTGAATATCCCCAAAATCCCAGAACTCGAACCGTTCGAATTCTGTGAATCACGTGAATATCCCCAAAATCCCAGAACTCGAACCGTTCGAATTCTGTGAATCACGTGAATATCCCCAAAATCCCAGAACTCGTACCGTTCGAATTCTGGGAAAAATCCCAGAAATTGAAACGTTATATTTCTGTGAACCACGTAAATTTTTGCAAAAATTGAAGTGTTCCTTTTCTGAAAGCAAACTAAAAACCATAAAAATTAAAAAAACTGAAAATCAGCAAAAATAATGTAATTAATACCATATTTCCCGTGGTTACGTTGAAATAAAATATTTCTGATAAAAAACCCAGCGATTATGCTATTTATCAGAAGTTGAAATTTTTCTGTGATAAATTACAGAAATTTGATTCATTTTTGATTTTTCCTCCGAGAATTGAAAATTTTGAAATTCACTACTTCTTATATTTTTGGAGTGCATACAAACTCTTTGAATGCGAAAGCTGATCAAATACCTAATCTAGTATAAGAAAAGAAGCTTAGTCTGGAGAGAGAAGTGTCTATAGTTCGAAATTCAATGGTTTAGGAAGAGCCAGATGTTCAGAGAGCGTTTTGGAAATTGAACTTGGTTTTTATTTCGTTTTCATTTTTGGTTTTTTAAAATTACTGTACCGGACTAAATAATATTTGAAAATTTTCTCTGTAAAGTACCATAAAACCTGTAATTTTATATTATATATCCCGTCGTTCGGCCGCCGTGCCACCGTCGTAGCTGTCCTCACTTTCAAGTTTGAGCTAATTTATCTTGGCTCCTATGCAATATATCAAACATTTTTCAACTGATAAAATGTTTTTGATATTGTGACAAACAATTTATTAGTAGACAACTTTTTCATATCTTTGACAGGAACCGAGATAAATTGGCTTAACATTGAAAGTTAGGGTAGCCTTCTATTACAGGTTTTACGTTAGCCCTGAAAAGGTGGTCTGGAATTTTTCAATTCGTTCGCAAATTTCAGGTTTTACTAAACAAAATTAGAGCTTAATTTTTGAAATTTACCACTTTTTGTAGAAATTCAACTAGGCGAGATAGGAAGTTTTTTTTTAATATCATTGCAATGTTAATTTTGGCATTTTCGGCATTTTTATGGTTACAAACCACCTATCTCATCAGAATGAAATTTGGTGAAAAAGTTGTCAACTACAAAATGGAAGCTCTAATTTTGTTTAGTATACTCTGAAATTTTCAAACCAATTGAAAAATTTTGGACCACTTTTTTAGGACTACAAAATTAACTACCTTAAAACCTGTATTAAGAAGGACCTTTAACTTTTAACTTTGAATACTTATATCTCCTTTCCTGTAAAAGATATCAAAAAATGGTTTACTGATAAAATGTTTATCGTAATATCACAAACATTTTGTTAGTGGACTATGCTTCGATATCTTTCACAGGGCACGAGATAAAGTGACTCAAAGTTGAGGGTTTGGGTGACGTTCCATTTTTTGGCACCTATTTTGAATCTTGACAATTCCAGACACCCCACCTCCCTCCCTAAAATCGTGTTTTGCTTTCTTTTTTTATTCCGAGACCTCCCACATCCCAAGTTGTAACAAAAACATCTATATTACCACTGACCAAAGGATTCTATCTAGTCTAGACTTTCAAGATTATTCTGCTCCTTAAATCTGTCTTTAATGTATAGTAGGAGTACAAGGGTAAATAACAACTACAATATACTTCACTCGCTATTGTTGATATTCTGATAAATATTACTCATATCTCTGAATTGGTCATTTCCGTTTTTTATTCATTGAAAACCTTATTTCCGGAGAAAGGCGGGCCATAAACTTGCCAGCCCAAAATTTTCTTCCTGGATCTTTTTTCTGAACTTTACATCATCAAAATCCCACTTTCCTTTTGTTTGAGCCTAATGTCAGAAGTCGAAAAAAAAGAGGCAACTTGTGTTTCAAGGCAAATTAAGTGGACCAAAAAAAAGACGAAGTTCGTTAGCCGCTTTTTTTCTGGAATCCCCTTATTTTCAGTTATTTCTCCGCTGTTCGGAAACTTACGGCTTCTTCCCTCCTCCCATCGTTTACACTAATGAGAAGCCACTCGTCAATTTGTGCTTTTGTCTTCTTCTTCTTCTTGTATTCTCTTTTTTGACCACATCCCACCGCTCCGCTCGCTCTTCACTATTTTTTTCATAATCCTCTCGTCATTTATTATTTGTCTACTTATTTATATTCTTAATGATTTCAGATGTCCTTCGACACCAACTCGACCACAATGCTGGAACAGTTGGAAGGGGGTGGCGATGAAGGAACGCCGACGAAGAGCAAGAAGATTATCAAGTTTTGGATGATTTTGGCCGCGATTTCAGAATAGGAATTATTCTGAATTTGGGACTTTTGTTGAGAAGAAAGTTTACATCGTGAGTTTCAACTTTGGGTACGAGCTCAATTTATCTAGGTTACTGTAAAAGATATCAAAACGTTGTCAACTAATAAAATGTTTATGATAACATCAGCTATATTTTATCAGTTGACAACTTTTTGATATCTGTTACAGAAAAAGAGATAAAAATACTAACATTTGAAGGTTTGTGGTGACCCCCACCCGCCAAACTTTCAACTTCGAGTCTTTTTATTGATAAAGATAAAGTACTGGTAATTTTGCGAACATCATTTTGTCAGTTTACTACTTTTTGATATCTTTCATAGGAGCCGAGATAAATATAAAGAATGGAGTGCTTGGTCCACGGCAAAGTGCCCAGGACTCGGCCGCGGCCAGCCTTGACTATGACACTTTAAGAATCCAAGTTTTCAGATTATTGAAAAAACATAGAGCTCAATTTTTGTACGCTTCTTATTTATATAGTTTTTATAACTCCTAGAAAATTTTGGACCGCTCAAAATTGGAAATTCTCACTGACAATTGAATTATTCAAAAATTCAAATGAATGTTTTTTCTAAATTCTCGAGTTTTGTATTTTAAAATTTCTAAGGTTGGGTTTCAAATTGGTTTTTTAGAGAAGTGGAAATTTGAAATAATAGCTCCCAAATTACTTTTTCAGCGTCCTAAAATCGCACATTCCACACTCAAAATACCGTAAATTCGCTAATAGACGCCACCCTATACGTACTTGCACTTTGAGCTCAATTATCTCAAGTCTCACAAGAGATATCAAAAATCAGTCAATTAATAAAATGCTTATCATATTATCAACAACATTTTATCAGTTAACAGTATTTTGATATCTTTGCTGGGAGCCGAGATAATTAAGCTAGAACATAGTATACCTCTTACTACAGGTTTGACGGTATGTCGGAATAAAAATTAGGAACCTTACAACTCAAAAACAGTTCGAAAACTTTCAAATGCCCAATTCAAATCTCCAAATCTAACCAGAACTCAAAGAATTTTCATATTCCCAAAATTCAATTTCCAGAGCCCGAACCTCGTCGACAACGCGATCCTCTCTGTTCCTTTTGGGCACAATGGCTGCAGCGGACACTCTATGCCTTTTTTCACTTCTCTTCCTGCTTTGCCTCCGATTCTTCGGACTCGAAAATCATCCATACGTTCTAACGTTTGTGTGTAAGGTTAGTAGGCTTTATATGTATCAATGGAAATTGAATTGGGGACAAGAAAGAAACCCTCCCCACACACACACACAAAAACATTCATTAGCTAGATGAATAGGTTTTGCGGGGCGCGGCGGGGATACAAAGAAGGAAACCCAAAAGGAAGTGCGATATATGGAAAATAGAGGACCCAGAAGAAAAGTGTCCAGTGATGTTTGAGTGGCGAGAAAAGTTGAGAGTGACGTATTCCGCGCTTGACATATGAATCGGAGATAAGAGGGAGAGGGAGATAAGAATGTGATAAGTGTATGAAATCCCTAATCGTTCTTGGGAGCCAGAGAGTTCAAACGTTCTAGAAAGATCATGACTAAGTAGTGCTTGAGATCAATGTATCAAAAATTGTGATTTGGGAGAAGCTGAGCAACAGCTTTGGCTAGAAGATCCTGCTGCAGATTCTATAGATCCTATAGATCCTATTGGAGATGTGTGTTAGAAATGATCTTTTCGGAGTTTTTGGAAGTTCAGAATACTCCGATTTTTAAGATTTCGAAATGCCGAAATTTCTAAATTGGAAAATTTGGAATTTCGGAATATTCCAGTTTTTACAATTTCCGAAATTCGGAATTTTCGAAATTTCTGAATTTCTGAATTTTTAAGTTTCTGAATTTCTGAATTTCTGAATTTCTGAATTTCTGCATTTCTGAATTTCAGAATTTTTGAATTTCTGGATTTCTGAATTTCTGAATTTCTGAATTTCTGAATTTTTGAATTTCTGAATTTCTGAATACCTGATCTTCTGATTTTCAGAAATATCCCGATTTTCAAAATTTCATGATTTTTGAAATGTCGGAATATCCCGAGTTTCGAAGTTGCGGCACTTCGGAATTTCGGAATTTCAGAAAATCCTGATTTTCAAAATTTCAGCATTTTTGGAATTCCAAATTCCGGTCCGAACATCCCTGCTATAGATCCCATGGATCCTGTGGATCTCAGTAATCCTATAGATCCTTAGGATCATTAAGATCCTATAGATCCTATAGAACCCAAAGAATCTTTAGGATCTATAGATACTATAGATCCTAAAGACTCTATCGATCCCATAGATACTTACGATCCTATAGACCTCCACGATCCTATAGACCGAACCTCATGAAACAGAGCATCATGGCTACACCCTAGCCCAGCGCGCATTCTGATTTCTGCAAAGTGTCCAAAAGTTCACATTCTCTGACCTTTATCCAATTCTCGCTTTTTTTGCAGTTGAGCGTGTTCGTCATGCACACGACGTCGTCGTTCTCGATCTGGTGCTGGCTGGTGCTCTCCGCGGTCCGCTACGTGGCAGTTTACCGCCCGTACACACACCTTAAACTCAATAAGGAGCCTCGTCTCGCCGTGGTAAGCACAAATTTCATTATGACATGTATCTATTGTGTCCTTCTTTTTATTCCTCTGAAAAATTTCCTTTCCTATTCAGATCACCGTCGCCTTCTTCTGTTGTGTGTCGGAAGTGTGGGTGCTTTGGGACATTGAATACGACGAGACGTTTAAAGGTAAGGAAGACATTTTTGGGGATCAGCGAGCAGAGACGGATGTTTTTTTTTCAGCATGCGGTGGGACTGAAACCGAGATCAGCAGACATCTACAGATTTTTGAGATCTTCAGCTCCTACTTTCTTCCGGTAATCATCATCACCGTGTTGGATTTGAAGGTTTACTCTCGAAACTTTCGGAAAACTTGAAATCTGAAATTCAGGTCATCTTGTGCCGAACATGGCGATTTTCCAGTGGTCCAAAGCGGAGTGTGAAGGCGGCAAAACAAAAAATGAGCATATATAGCGAGGGATGTCCTTCTCCGGACTCTAGTGTTAAGAAGTATTCAAGTGCAAACGTGACAATCAGCAAGTCTAGGTCGAATGGAGAGTTGACGACATCCAGTTCTTCTAGGTATGTTTGGATAATTGGCCCAATTTTATGGGAGGAGGTCATTGAGCAGCGCCTCTACCGGCTGAGCTAAGCCGGCTGCCAACCACTGGCATGCATATGCCCTTTTAAATAGCAAAATTTTGGTTCTCAGACAAAATTATAGATAAAATATCCTACAATTCTGTCTAAAAATCACTTTTCTAACGCTTCTTGGAACCGAGATAGAGCCGTTTCAAGTTTAGGGGGCTAGAGACACAGACGACGAGACACGCTGCGGTTCTAACCTCGGGAACTTCAAATGACCGTATCTCGATTTTTAGATGAGCTAGTAAGTTGGTTTTTGGACAGAATTGCACGGTTTGAAATGGATTTTCTGATTATTCATGATGATCTTAAAGGAGGCAAGACATAAAGACATAAGACATTTTGCTGTCTCATCTCTTCAAACAGTAAAACCTTGAATTTCAAAAAATAAACAAAATTCCCTACAATTCTGCCTAAAAACCACCTTTCTAGCGCTTCTAGGAGCCGACATAGAGCCGCTTCAATTTTAAAAGGCTAGAGATGCAGACGACGAGACACGCTGCGTCTCTAACCTCGGAAACTTCAAATGACCGTATCTCGATTTCTAGATGAGCTAGGAAAATGTTTTTTGGACAGAATTACATAGTTTGAAACGGATTTTTTGATTTTTAAAGATAATTTTAGATCAAAACGACGCCAACACCTCCGAGTCCTCCGTCGATGTCTCTGCATTACGATTTTCGACTTATCCATGAACCTACCATCCTACCTCTTGCGGCTCTATGTCTCTCTGGTAGATGATACGGAACCAATGTCCGATGAGTACATGTCGACGATTGCTCTTGTTGAAGAAGTCTCACAAGTCATGTATTTTGCCCAGTTTGCGCTTAACGCGTTGTATTTGATTTGTATCATTTACGATACGCCGAAGAGGAAGTTTACGGTGAGTTAGAGATGATACTGTTCTTTGAGCTCAATTATCTCCGTTCCTATGAGAGATATCAAAAAATTGTCAACTGATAAAATATTGGTTATCTTATGATAAACAACTCTATTATCTCAGTTTCTAGGAAAGATATCAAAAGTGTGTTAACAGATAAAACATTGCTGATATCATGATAAGCAATTTATCAGTTGATTACTTTTTGATATTTTTTACAGAAATCGAGATAATTGAGCTCAAAGTTGTGTATACAATATCTTTCATTTTCAAACACAAAACCTTGATTTCCATATCTTTCCGATTCCTGAAATTAACCATCTTAAGAACCGGTTTCTGATTTTCAAATGTTAATACCTGATAAGAATAGATAAGATATGATAAGATATAAAATGAGATATACGGTATCCTTACAAATAATCAAAACACACCCGCACCGTGACCTAGTTGAACTTCCAGCTAATCAAACAATGGACATTTGATCTCATTGGTTTTGAGTTGTTGTTGAATTATCTCGGTTCCTATTAGAGGTATCAAAGTCTTGTCAACTGATAAAATGTTTATCATAATATCACCAATATTTTATCAGTTGACAAATTTTTGATATCTCTCATCGGAACCGAGATAATTGAGCTCAAAAGGGGCTTCTATAATTATAATTAATAAAAATCATTTCAGCTCCCGAGCACCCAGCTCAGTGCGGTTGGTCTCACTCCACGAGCGAGTCGAAAATCGGCAAGAAGCACATTTGAAACTCGGATTGTTTAAAAAACCAAAATTTCGAAAAATCAAAATCTAGATACCAATTGTTTCTCCCTCTGTGATTGATCTCTACCCTTTGTTTCCCCCCACAACTCATCTCTGCCAGAAAACTCTTGCCTCACTCATGTTGTTCTTTGTTTTAATGAATCATTCTTCAATTTCAAATCTTTATCTTCTTTTTTTCTAAACTCAAACAAACAACAAAAAGTGCACATGGTCCCAGGGCGGGAGACTCGTGATCCTGCTCCGGCTCCTATGGGACACGGATTTCTCTGGAACCCTCTGAAAATCGCACACTCTCTGATTCACGTGAAAACAGGTGGATTCCTTCCGCCCCGGTATATTCGTCATCATATGATCTTCTCCTCTTCTCCCGGGGTCACTATACATTTTCTGGAAGAAATGGGCGGGAGGTAACGACGGGGGAGGAGGAAAAGGGTAAAGAGAAGCACGAGATCGTATCGAATGTTGATTAATCTGCTAGATAAGAGAAGAGGTCCCCATTCACACAACTCATTTATTGTGGGGGATTCATGTCTCATTCATCATGCCTCCTCCTCTTCAAGAATCATAAAATGGAAATTTCGAGAAGAAGGAGGTCTTCAAAATGTCATTCTGTGTAGTAGTCAAAGGCTTGCGCAGTCCTACACATGCAGTTTCATTTAAAGCTATCGCGTCGAGACCTACTGCGGTGTTATTCGCGTTTGAGCACATTTACAACGCGCCCACTGTAGAGTTTTAGAAATCAATTAAAGTTTAATTGATTGAGACTACGTCGTTAAATACCAAATGTCTATCTATGGAAAAATTGATCTTTGTATTTTTTTTCAACTCCAAAAAACCGACACTAATTGACTTTTTTTCCTTTTCTTTCCCGAAATTCTACTAGTTTTTTTCTTCTTAAAACTTTCAAAGACTTTTTTCGCCGAATAATGCGAATTTCGAAGGACCAAATAGTTTTTTTTTTCCGAAAAAAAAACTAATTTTCTACAGTAACCAAACTTAATCGGTGCAAAGCCTTCTGTTTGATTAGACTCTGCGCCTTTAAAGTCTACTGTAGCAGTTTTTGTCGGCTATTTTTCGTAATTTTTTTCAAGTTTTTCGCATAAAAACACAGTGAAATTTTTTTAATTTCGTATTTTAGCGAACCAAATCGGCTTGAAAAACCTTCTTTCCAAAAAAACCTGATTTCTACAGTAATCTCTGAAATCGTTGCGAAGCCTTTTGCTTTACTAGACCCTGCGCCTTTAAAGTTTACTGTAATTGTTTTGAACCCTAAAATTTTGCCTATTTTTGCTGGGTATTCGAGGTTTTTCAAGGTTTTTTTTGCGATTTATCACATAACTCTTATAATTCCAAATTTAAATGCTGAAATCGGTTTTGTAAATCGTTTCATCCTAAAAAAGTCAAATTTCTACAGCAATCAATAGAAATCGCTGCGAAACCCATAGTTTGAGTAGGCCTTGCGCCTTTAAAGTCTACTGTAGTTTTCGAATTTTCTCTTTTTTTTTCGGGTCCTAATTTTTGCCTATTTTTCGCAGGTTTTCGAGATTTTTCTAGATTTTTTTCATGTGTTCACATGAAAGTAGTAAAATTCTTCCGATTTTTTAACGTAAAATACACATTTGCCGACAAAAATGCTAAAAATAAGGGAAAATAAGACAAATTCGACCTAAATTATGTATTTTTTCAATTTTTCCATTCTTTGCCCTTTCCACTACATAAAACACGAAGAAGCACACACAAAAAAAAGAAAACAGTACAGTTTTCAGGTGTCCAAACAACACGAATCCCAAAATTGTGATCTACCAAAGCGATGCCAGCGTTTTTTTCCGCGCGCAACATTTCATATAAAACGCTCTCCATGTGCCCACTGGTCACTCTACTCCTTCCGAGTCTCCAGAGAGCCCAACCAGTGTGTTTGCTCTTATCAAAAATGCTTATATTTGCTGACCTTCTTCCCCATTCCTTGCATATTGCGCATAGCTCTTTTTTCCGCATTCATCTCAGCCTATTCATGCTTCAGATGACTCAATACGTATCACTATCGACACCCTATATTTCATATTACAGCTTCTCCCAACACATTCGCCATGCGTCCATTCATCCTCCTCGCTCTCCTCTTCTCCGTTGCCATCGCCTTCAACATCTTCCGTGATGAAGCCGTCCCAGAGGAGCAACTTCTCTCCGTTCGTCGTTCGACACGTGGTGCCGACAAGAAGGCCGACAGCAGCGACAGCAGTGATTCAAACGAGAAGGACGACAAGGTTACGGTAAGTCTTCGTAAGCTACTTATAGAATAAAATTTAACCCATTTCTAGGAAGGATCCGGATCTGGCGATACACCAGTAGAAGCAGAAGAGCAGCTCCGTCGTGTCGCCCGTGACGTCGAGGAGGCATCTGGAGAGGAAGAAGGATCCGGTGCCGCTCAGGTGACATCCGCTCCAGTCAGATTCGTGCGTTCCGTCGACGTCGAGGGATCCGGATCTGGAGATGAGGCTCCAGCCGAGTAACTCTACTAACGAGAAGTCCTCATAAATGATCTGTACATATTTTGAAGTATTATTTTCATCCTCTTACAAACCCGCCGTCTTTAATTTCTCAAATTCACTCTTTCCCCTTTTTTTCACCATTTTTTTCAAAATTGTATGCTCAAAGAGCCCTGGTAATAAATTTTTAAATCTCAAAATTGAAACCTATTATGCCTTCATTTTATTACAATTAAAAACTCTTCTTAATAGCATCTCGAATATATTTAGGCGGCTCCTTTCCCTCAATCAAATCGTCCACAAGTCTCGCGAGAATCCTGTCGATATCCGTCTCCACGTAAACCATTTGCACAAAACTTTCGGATCCTTCTGAAGCTGTATACTGAATATTGAGCCTCTTCGACACATAATCGCCGATTCTGGAGATCCTCGACAGTGTCAACCCGCGATTCTCGATGACGAACGCTTGCGATTCGTAGTTCTTGAGCTCGCTGCCACGTAGCTCTCTCACTTTCACTTCTAGCTCGAGGCCCTCGTCGAGGTAGGCGCCTACACGAACGTTGGCATCGTTAACAATGGCTTCCAGGTCTTCAGAAGACTTTGTCATCCACAGTGCACAGTGTTTCATTCGTTGACGGGCGTTGCAAAGGTCCACTTGATTTTTCTGGAAAAAAGAAACTTTAACCTTTTTAGGCTTTCCGACGTTTTGTAGGCTCTTTCTGGCATTCCGACACCCGAAAATTTGCAGAAAACAGCTCTATCATGATTTTTTTCCAGGCTTTCCGCCGCTTTTTTCTTCGTTTTTAGCATTTTATCCGCAAAAATCGGTTCCAATAAATAATTTTTTAAAGTGTGTCAAAATTTATCTATTTGTGTCAAAATTTATCTATTTTTCAAATATTATTGCGAAAATATTCAAAGAAAATCCGAAATCCCCGAAAATCGCCGTGGAAAAGGAAAAAATTCAAAAAAAGGTGCTGCCGGGGGACGAGGATTTTCAGTGAGAAACCTAGGCCACGGCACCTGACAGCCTTTTTTCAAGACGCCGACAGTGGTTTTTTTTCTTAAATCGGGATGTACTAAAAACAAGGCCACTAAAAGTAAAATCAGCCATTAAAAATTATTTTCAGCCTCTAAAGTGTAGGCTTAGCCTTTAAAAAGCAGGCTTACGGCGCCCACACTTAAAAATCAGACTTAGAAAAAAACATTCCGTAAAACCTGTATTAGAAGAACCCCTTTAATAGAAGGGTCCCTCTAATAGAAGGGCCCTCTGTGAAAAATGACCCCTCTTCAATGTGTTTTGGAATAAAAATTTCCGTAACTCTTCAATGGAAAATATTCCACGAACTCCACAAGTCAATAGGTTCTTCTTGTACAGGTTTCACGGAAATGAAAGTAGGCTCAGTCCTTAAAAAGTAAGCTTAGAACCCTAAATTGATGTATACCTAAAAACAAAGATATCTGAAAGTCAAATTAGAAGTTACTTCAGCTGTTAAAAAGTATGCTTAGAGCTTGAAAAGACATTTACAAAATGTGGAAAAATCCCTAGAAAATTCTGAATATCTATGCAAAAAATTCCCTTTTCTGGTAATACTTGAAGTTTGTTTTCTAAGTTTTCGATTCCCAATTTTATAAAAACATTTTTGAATGTTCATTGAACATGTGTCTCTCAACCGATTCCGGAATATTTTTTCAAATTTATGAAAGCTATGTTTTTCCAGTTTAGAATATTCTAAAAACTATCCCAATAATTTTTCAATGTTCAAATTAGCCTTTAAAAGTATTAAAAACCCTATGAAATGCCTATTCAGGAAAAACAATTTCTCCTTCTTTTTTCTGAACACTTGGTGATGTTTTTCCAGTTTCGGAAACTCCAAAAACTACCCCAAAAATCATTTGAATTTACAATCAGAAATTCCGAAAAAAAAAGAAAAAGTTATTTTTTTTGAAAACGTGAAGTATATAATAACCATCGAGACTTCATCTAACGTGCTCCCGATTAGCCTAGTGGTTAACAGGGATGAATTTGAAACAACCGTTGTTGGTTCGAGTTCGTTCTCCCCAGAGCCTAGTTGTTTTTGTCAGAGTACAGTAATCGGGGTTAATCGTGAAAAAAATACGGGAAATGCCCCCTGGCGTGGGGATACGATCGCGTAGGTTTCTCACTGAAAATCCTCGTCCGGCAGCACCTTTTTTTGAATTTTTTTCCTTTTCAACGTCGTTATTCGGGAATTTCGGATTTTTTTGAATTTTTTGGCAATAATATTCGAAAAATAGATAACTTTTAGCACATTTTAATGCAATAAAAATTTTTGGTCGGAGTCCCCCTTTAATATTCACCGGTTTTCCGCGCGGCGGACTTGCGCGCCGACTTCGCCCGCCCACTTTTCCACGTACGCGGAAAAGTGGGCGGTGCGTTGCTGTGCGGAGAAAAAGAAGCAAAAAATGTGCTGAAACTCGGGAAAAATTCATATTTTTTAAGGAAAATTTGAAACCTTTTCCATATAACTCGCTCCGGTGCACTGAACACTGATCGGCCACTCGTTCTTCTCGCTAAACGAGCTTTTCATAAACGGCGCGGTGATGGCTGCTAGCGAGTTGCCCACTGGAAATTTTTCATTTCGTATTGAAAAAAGCTTTTACAATAGTTCTACCAACCTAAATAGGTCAATGGAAAGCTTGCGGAGCCATCTGTAAACGGAATAAACGTGGATTTATCGACATTCAACGCCTCCAAAATAGCGGCGCGTGCGATGTAGGAAGGCGAAATCGGCTGACATCCCGGGAACAGATCGACTAGTTGCTCGCGAATCATTTTCTGCACGACGACTGGATAGCCGACGAGATGGATGACGTGTGTTTGTTTGTCGATTCGCATTAGCCCCTGCTGGGCGAGGTATTGTGCATGTTCTAGAAAAAAATTGTATGGGGAAAAACCTCAATTTTCGAATTTAAAGTTACTTGAAGGCTTTAACAGCGGTGTCTGCTTTTTTCCAGCACTATGAATGAAATTCGGAAGCTCTAAAGCATTCAGAAGACCATCTTTTTTGGCGCGAAGCTCTTTTTTCAGTGCCGACGCCGATTCTTTGTCACCAGCCGCTGCTTTCCATTTTTGATAGACGTCGAACCACTCGTTGTAGTCTTTTTTCGTTTTCTCCACGTCTACATTCAGATTTCGGGATTCTAGAGCGATTTTTAGTTGGTCTTCTTGCTCGAAGACGTTCCGCATGTCTACTAGTGGATCGACAACGTGGACGTCAGAGCCACCGACGAATCGTGCTGCCAGATGAGACATCCGGGCTAGTTGGCGGTAGGGGATCATCTATAAGAGTTTTGGTGTCTAACTATGGGAGAGTTTCTCTTAGCTAGCAAAAGGTAACTCTGATGATCTGAAAACATTCGGCTTGTCAATTAAATGAAAAAAATTGAAGTTCTTGCGCCGATTTCAATTTATATACAAAAAGGGTATTAGTGTGTGAAGAGGGCAAAAAATGGAGAGTATCGTAATGGGATGGGAATACACACGCAGTAGAGGAAACGTGGAACGGGAAGGGAAGAAGCCGCAAATCGGTAACCGAAAAGAAACAGAAAAAATGAAGAAACAAACAAAAAGTCTAGGCGTTGAGTTTACAATTTACAGTGGAGGGAGTGAGAACTGCTATACTTCACACAAATTAACAACAAAAAAATTTACAAAATTAACCAAAGAGGGAGAGAGGATGATTATACAAATTGAAACGGCGACGACAACGAGAATCTTCTTCAGTGCTTTCTGATGTAATGGTCCTCTTCGTCCTCGTCGAACTCCTGTGGATCGTAGCCGTCGTAGTTGTCAAATTCCATCTCGTAATCGTCGCCGTCAAATCCAGAAAACTTGCGAGACGAGCATCCGGAGATTCCACGCGAGCGTTGCTTTTTGAGCGCCTTCGATTGGTTGGCCGCCTTTTGTTTCTTAGCAACATCGTCTTGTGCTGAAAATTTCAAAATCTTTCCAGTTCTCTTAGGCGTGCTGCGGCTCGCGACGCGGTTGGACTTTGGAATTTTCATTCCGAACTATGACTTGGCGCGGTGGCAATTCCTTGAACGACAAAGCGCATTACAGGGCACTCACACTTGCTACGTGGAACTCCGGCGATCGCGCCAGCCGCTCCTCCGTTGCCGATGACGTTCGGTGGAGTCGTCGACACCTCGTCCTTGCCATTCGCCGCCGCCTTCTTCTGCGAAGTCAACGAGTTGGCATCGATGGCATAGCCAACCGGATCCTTCTTCGCCATCTCCTTCTCCGCCTGCACCTCTGGATCGCTGTCATAATCGTCGCCGTGCTGGATCGGCTTTGGCATTTTTTCTTTTTCTAGAGCGTTCTGCGGGTGAGAAAGAGATGAAAATGTGAATAAGAACAAAGAAAAAACATAACATGGCGAGAAGGAGCCACTAAACAACAATACAACTGAGAATTAGAAGCTAAAAAACCGCCCGCAGGAACTTATTTATTTAATTACGGTTAGTGTGTAAAGCAGTGAACCCAGAACATTTATATTACAATGACCGGAGATCCTTCAGTTATGATACGGAGGGCGTGTGTTGTCGTGTCCATATTCCTTGAGAATCTCGTCCAGAAGCTCCTCGGTCAGAGTGTACTTCGCGTCTTTGGTGCCTTTCTTCATCTGTCCGAGACCCTTCATACGAGCCTGAAGTAATGAAAACTGTGATACAAAATTCAAAGAATGAGATTGCGAGAGGAAGTTATCTTCTTACCGCAATCATCGGCATACTCACCGTGGTCATTGCGTCAAGAACAATGTCAGAAACATGCTTCTGAGCGGCCAGCGCAATCAGTCGGACGACACGTGGATCTGTGCCTTCGACACCAGCCGACTTGAGAAAATGCATCGTAACAGAGTCGGGGATCGTCGGTGGATATTCGCCGAGCTGGTTGATGAACTCGCGGGTCTCGTCTTGATTCATATCCTTCTCGACGCTTTCGACGGTCTTGGTGACGAACTGTTGCTGACTTGCAGAGAGGGGTCGGTGAAGAGTGGATCTGAAAAAAGTAGGCGCTGCAGAATCGCTCATTTTAAAGAAATTCTTACCGGATCGTTTGGACTGAAGGCTCGAGAGACGAATAGGCATGTGATGGTGGGCGCTGTGGAAGAGCTGGTGGTGGCATCGCTGCACTGTCTGATGTAGACGTGCCTTCTTGTTGATCCATAATTCGGGATTTCTGAAAAAAAAACACTTATTTAAATTTTTCCGGCGATCGAATCCCTTCTATAGGGATTTTGAATATGCAGAATTAAAAAAACATTTTTTAAAACGACATCTCGAAGATGCGACAAAAAATCTTTGTGGCCAATTTCCGACAGATTCGTTTTAAAAATACCGCAAAAACTGAAGAACTAGCGATTACACAAGCATTTTTGCGAAATTCTTTTCAACAATCGAAAATTTCAGGCAACTTATTAGTTTTGAAAGTTACCAGAACTTCTGAAAAATTCTCTAGAAAATGCAATTTGCAATTTTTTTTCCAAAAATCATAAATTCAATTTTTTCTGTCAAATAGCCTCTTTTTATCGGAAATTCTGATGCGAATTCACTTAAAAATCGGTACAAACAGCTTCCAGTCAAAAACTGAATGAAAAAAAAACAGAATTCGTTCGTTTCCGACTGTTTCGTGACAATTTGAATGTGCAGAAAATTCTCAAAAACCTCGTGGGGCTAGGCTCCGCCCACTTGCAACTGCGCGGCGCGCCTTTTTGCAACCGCCGCACACTTTTTTTGTCGATTTGTTTCTCAACCAACTTTGTAACACTTACATTGATTTCTTCTCAAAAAACAGACAAAATCTGCCGATTCGGAATGAGGAAATTGAAAAAAAGCAAGAATCGATACAATATAGTTATTTTTTCCCATGAAAAATCATTTTACAAGAAGAAAAAATTTGACAAAATAAGTACAAAATGTGAAAATAACAATGAAACAAGTAGCAAAATTACATTCGAAGAAATTCGATTTGACTTGAAGTGATTCGAAGGCGAAGAGAATTCGGAGCATTTGCAATTGGGTACACTTCGGAAATTTTTTGGTCAACAACCCGCATTTTAGCTATTTTTCCGATTTCATCGATATTTAGCGAGTCAGTGACTCTGATGTTGCAGTACTTGAATGTAGCGGATTCCATGAAAGCCTCAAAAATTAGAGAAAATTGCGAATAAAGACTATAAATGACTTACATCTCGAAGTTGGACAATGTGCTGTGCTTCAATGGATTTAACGGCGTTGATCATGCAGCTCGTCAAATTATAAAAGTTTTCCAGTGAAGACGCTTCTACAATCGCTGATATTTCCGCACTTTTCGCTTGTTTGAATTGCTCCAACTGCCAAATCCCTTCAGTAGATTCCAAACTAGGAACATTGATTGCAATGGTTTTGAGAGTTTTCGATTCCAGACCGGAAATGATTGAAATCGCTTGGTCAGCGGAATTCACAGTGAGATATGCTTGTCTTAGTTGAAGACGTCGTGTTTTCTGGCCAGATTTCTGGCGGAAAATCTCCAGAAGTTCAGCAGGATTCTTATGGGAAACATGAAAATTCACGTACAAGCTGCTGATCTGGATTTTTGAAGGTTTGAGTACACTTGACAAGTCGTTGACAGCGATTTTCATGAAGTTTTCTTGAATTGCGATTTTTTTAGAACAGTCGTATTCCAAAATACACTCTTTCGATGCATTATTGTTGTAGCTAACCAATGCATCTTTGTTAAAGCTAAAACTCTCATTAAATCGATAGCGAACACAATCCGATCGAACTGAAATTGAAAGTATGTCGAGATGGAGTTTCAGTTGATCGATAAGCTGACAGAACGTTTTAGACACTTTGCGAAGATTTAGCCTGAAAATCGATTAGATTAAGAGCCCTTTATCAATTGTTTTAAACAAATTTACCGATTTTTCAAATCTAATTTCTCGAAAATTTCACATAGAACTTCACTTGGTAAAACGGGTAAAACGATGGATTCTGGAATCGGCGGTCCTTCTTCAAGCATATTCTATGAATCTGAAGCAGGATGTTTGTTTTCAATTTGGTGTTTTTAAAAGAATTTTTAAATGAAAAAATTAAGATTTCTCAATTTTTTACACAAATCAAAGTTCGTTATGGGGCCCTCCAACCAAATCCCGCATGCTCCTTCGACAAAAATTTCCCTTGATTTTCAGCTTTTTAAGGATAGAAAAACAGTCAAAAACGAGCCAAAACGCTAATAAACAAAGTGAGCATTAATCTCGCCGCGAAAGCTTTGAATTGAGTCTCTTCTAGACTCGAGTCTTACCGTTTTTCCGCATATATTCCAATGGAAAAAGGAAATAAAAAAGAAACTGGAAAATGGAAAAAGCGCGGGAAAAAATTAATTTGAAAAAAAGTTCCGGAAAAAAACCACTGTGCAACTAAACGACGTCATATGAGATATATTGAACACAGAAACACTTTATTCGGAGGATTGAAGAAAAAGTAAGAGAAATCATTTGAGGAAAAGTCAATTTCTGTGAACAAGAAAATCAAAATTGGAATCACCAACGGCAAGGAACGCTCTTTTTCCGTCTGTGATTCTCTTTACTTCGACGAAATCTTGGTTGAGATAATACTCAAGGCACATTGAACTAATAAACCTGAAATATTGAATAAATAGTAGGAAAAAACAATTTATGATTAAAACAACTTACGGGATATCAATAACCACTTCAGTCGGTCTCTTTTCCGGTTCATCCAAATCGTATTCCTCGAATTCGATCGCCTGCCGTACCATATCTCCATCTATTACATTTTCTATAACTGTGGACATAGTCTCCAGATCGTGATAAGCTTCGTTTTGAAATCCATTTATGAAGAAACTGAATGAGATCTTGTTCAGTTACGGTAGTCCATTCCAACCGAATGTTTTTACCACAAAATTCTGTAAATAGGAAAATTTAGATTATGGAACTGAGAATCTAAAAAAGTTTTACATGAAAGTGTTCTGGCCCGCACCGACATGCTACATTAACATGTTGAACTTGATAAACTGGAGAATCATTCGATAGTTCTCCAAGAGGACCGAACGATATGACAGATAGGCTCAGATAGTCGGAATATGTCGTCAAGACGTTTTCCAAAAATTGAGTGTCAAAAATTACTGCCATTGGCTCGTTGGCACATTCCATTCGGTGTAGAAATGTTCTGTCTTTATCGCACCAGAGATCGAGTCTGAGAAATTCTGATATTCTGATATCTACCGGAATTTTCAACCACAATTTAGAACTTTTCACAAATAGGTTATTGCTGAATGTGTAATCAAAACTTACTTTGTATCAGCTTCATAATCATCGTGCGATTTAATATTAAAAAAGGGCGGAGCTCCTGCGGGGACACATCATACGAACAGACCCCCCAAGTCGGAACACTAGTCCATTCTTCGTTTGTATTCGGGTTCTCATTTGTCTCTATAGTTTTGTAACTTTCTACTGTTTGTATTATTCAAAAAGTCCCGATCAATTCAGGAAAAATCTAATTTCATCTATAAGGAACGAGAGTGAGATATTCCTGAACCTTGAAAAAAAGCAACCAGAAGACGTCATAAATGTATGTTAATGGCATTTTTCTTGCATTGCGAGCTTTGCAACTTTTACGCCCAAAAGTTCAACTTTATTTTTTTCTTATGATTTCTGAAATAAGGAAAAGATATTAGTTCTTAACACAGAAACACTTTATTCGGAGGATTGAATAAGTAAGTACTGACGATGATATTTAGCGAGCCAAGTTATCGAAATTAGAAGACAAGAAGAAAGAGGAAGACTGAAGAGAGCGACGCCACCTAGATGTCAGAGTCCTGGGAATCGGCGTTGTAGTTCTGTAAAATTTAATTTATGAGATATGATAGAACTCAACAAGTACTAAAAAGTAGTATTATTTGGAATACTGTAGCTCGTCTATGAACAAAGTTACAAAGCCGTAAAGCTATGACCGCATAGCTCAGACGAGTTTTGGCTTGTTCATAGAAAAGGTACAACTTTCCAACAGATCAAGCACAAGTTTATCTCTAAACTCACCAACTTGTCCCACATGGCCTGGTAGTCAGCTTGTGGAAGACTACGGTACATGCGACGTGGCAAGAGGCGAGAGCCGCCGAGACGCGACCTGGAATACGATGGTGAGCGCACGTTCGGCGATGGCTTAAACCATTGAGCGCTGCGGTCGATGCGCGACTGAGCGGATGCCACATCTGGAAGATTTAAATTGATTTATAAGATCTACAGTAGCCTGTAAATAGCTTTGATAGCTACAGTAGCCTACATCCTACTGTAGGCTACAGTACCCCTCCCAAAAACCTACCGAAAGTGGCGAGAATGACGAAGGCGAGGAGAAGAGCGGCGGCGAGGAAACGCATAGTGTTCTCGTGGAATGAGTGAGAAAACGAGTGGCTCTAAACGAGTATTTAAAGAAATCTGGCGGTTTACTCAAGAGAGACGTATAGCGAAACGAGTATATCCAATTAAGGGGCGGGGCTAGACAGTCTAGAAGGCAAATGGAAGACAATGGGATGAGTCAATGAACAATTGGATAGGGAATGGTGGAACAAGTGGGTGATGTTAATAGATTACTATACAAATTGGCTAGATGTTTCTCTATCTTATTAAGAAAATATACGATTCTGAGAAACTCGAGAGAGGATGTCAATATTTAATCATGACGTGGGAAATGTGTCCACCATATATTTATATCCCTAGGGAAGGTGACTAGGTGGAAAGTGCATTTAACTTGAATCATCGGAGGTGGAGCCATTTACTAAAATATATGTTTTATTGGGAAAAATAGACTTAAAGATTTAGATTTTGAGATTCTGAAATTCTGCAAGCCATAAGTGAGCTCAAAGTTGCATTGTGGGCCTGCTTCTATTAGAGTGCTTACGGTATTTGAAGACGGCCTCTGCTATAGTTTTTTTAGTGAATATTTCTGGATGAATTAAATTGGATATGATATAACTCAATGAGTTCTACAAAATGATACTATTTGAAACACTGTATCTTGTCTATGAATAAAGTTATAAACCAAACCATCTGAGTTACGCGGTCACAGCTTTATGGCCTTGTAACTTTGTTCATAGACAATATACAGTAACCCAAATAATATCACTATGTAGTACTCATTAAGTTCTATCATATGCAAATTAGCTGGTCAGAAATATTGATCCTGATCGAAGCTATATCAAAGCCCATCAAACTCGTTATCAAGTCTGATGGAAGCCCAACCTATTCATGAACTTTGAACTTAATTATCTCGGTTGTTTCAAAATATATCAAGAATTGGTCAACTAACAAATTGTTTATCATAATATCAGAAATATTTTATCAGTTGACAAAATTTTGATATCTTTTATGGGAATTGAGATAATTGAGCTCAAAGAACACATAAAGGATGGGCTTCTATTATTGCCTTTATGTTGTTCTTTACGTCTCTTTGAGGCTGATTCTTTCGGTTCCTATGAAAGATATCAAAAATCTGTCAACTGACAAAATGTTTATCATAAGATCAGCAATGTTTTATCAGTTGACAGATTTTCGATATCTCGTCTAGGGATCGAGATAATTAAGCTGGTATAGTATGGACGTTTATTGGAGCATTTACTGTGTGTATATTCAAAAATGCCATATGACAGAAGTTATATAAATCTAGAAAACTGATAACTTTTTTTAAACGGAAATTGCTATTCTGAAAAATTCGAAAACCCATGATCCTCCCATCACCACCAGATTTATAGAAAAACAAAAACCACTCCTTCTCACTCATAGTTGCTGAAAAAGATCGCGCGCGAATTGTGAAACCTACCTGTATGTAAACCTACCAAAAATACAATTTTCTAACTAGAATTTTTCAGAAATATGTATATGCTAGGCTTGTCTCAAAAAAATAAGAAGAACCAAAAAAGGATCTGGTAGTGATGGGCGGTTGTGAGTCTCCTCCCCACTCTCCCTTTACACGAACAAGTGTATAATTTATTCTTTCCCGCTGTCTTTGATGAATTTTTTCAACTAATACAAGGGGACTCCAGACGCCTTTTTTTCACATACTCTTGAAAAAAGGAGAAAACTAGAGCTGTACACCTCTAGAAAAAAGATAAAAAATCTGGAAAAAAAATATAGCAATATTCTAGAAGGAGAAGAAAGTGGGCGGAGCTTCTTCTAGAAGCAATTAGTTTGATTATAGCCCTCGGGCATGTACACTTATTATAGGTTTCTGGAAGAAATTGGTGAGCTCGGTGAGCCGGAATTTGAGGGACTTTAAAGTGCGAATTGACGTAGTGTATTCTGGAAAAATGTCAAACAATTTTTAGAATTCTGAATTTCGAATTATTAATCAAAGAAAGGAAACAAGATCCGGGATTCCAAACTTTTGCAGCACTTCAAGTCTGAAGTTCAAAATTTGACGTCAAGTTTATTTATACACACGGGCTGTTTACGGTGACTAACTGTGTAGCTCTCGCCCACTTGTGAAAGAAGTGGTTGAACTGAATTTGAAACTTCCTGAGACTCCAGAAGCACTTTTTTTTTGGTCATCATTAGAGAAAATGTTGGGGGGATCGGAGCTTTAACCATAGCCGACCCTATACGAGCACTTTGAGCTCAATTATCTCGGTTCCTGTGAGAGATATGAAAAAGTAATTGACTGATAAAATTTTTGTCATATTATGATAAACAGTTTATCAGTTGACAACTTTTTCAGATCTTTTACAGGAACCGAGATAAATCGACGCAAAGTTGAAAGGTAGGGTGCCCTTCTATAACAGGTTTTATGGTAGTTAAATGAACTTTTGTCGGATATTCAGTCAGGAAACAATTGCCTTTATCAAAAGTGCAACATTCCGAAAAATGCAAAATTCCAAAAAGTGCGTCAAAAATCAAAATTACAAATTTGAAAAAAAAATCTAAGCGTCTAGACGAATCAAGTCCACAATTTCAGTAATCCACTGATCACCTATTTGGCAACATTTCTCTCCAAAAAACAGAGCAAAGAATGAGAAGTCCACATCACTTTTTCCTCTGCTAAATCTGTCACCTTTCAATTTCTCAAATTCCACGGAAATTACTCGGGACAACAAAGAAGGACAGGAAATTGGGGAGCAAAAGGAATTTTGTAGATTTTTCAAAGAACTGGAAGGAAGAGAGAGCTATGCACACTCCTACTGTTGGCACGACGCTTTTTTTTTGGATTTTCTGAAAACTGAAATTGATGAGACAGGGGTAAGATGGGATCATCTGGAATAGCGGGAAGGGGTTCCAGGAGACGGACGTTCCAGGATTAAGTATTTATGGCAAATAAGAAGAAGCTGATGGGAAGGAAAACCAAAAAAAAAGAAATGTGTCTTGGAATATGACATGTTAAATATCACCATAAAACCTGTAATAGAAGGGCCCTTTAACTTAAAACTTTAAGATAATTTATCTCGGTTCTTTAAAACTTTGTCAACTGATAAATCGTAACATCCCAAACATTTTACCAGTTGTCAATTTTTCATATGTCTTATGATAGCCGAGATAGTTGAGCTTAAGTTTGACAGTGTGGAGGCCCTTCTATTAAAAGTTTTACTGTAGGTGGCTAAACTTTTGGAAATTCTGAGATTTCTAAAAAATCAAATTTTGGAAAACCCAAAAATCTTGAAAATCCGAGAAATCGCGAAAATTCGAAAACTCTGAAAGCCTAATATTTTAGAAAGTCAAAAAGAATTCTGAAAATCCAAAAATTCTGAAACCGCAAAATATTGGAAAACTCGGAGGATCGGAAAAATCCAGCAATTCTGAAAAGCCAAAAATTTCGGAAATCTGAAAAATCCGAAAAAATTCAAAAGTTTCGAAAATTCTGAAAGCCTGGTTAAATCCAAAAATCGTAACAATTCTAAAAATGATTGGAAAGATTGGAAAATCCAAAAATTCTAAAAATTCTAAAAAGCCAAAAATTTCGAAAACCCGGAAACCCAAAAATTCGGAAAATTCAAAAAATCGTAAAAATCAGAAAATTCTGAAAATACAAATATTTTTAAAATTCAAAAAATCAGAAAAATTCGAATATTCTAAGAACCCAAAATTTTGGAAAATCCGAATAATCGAAAAAATCTAAAAATCCTATATAAACCCAAAAATTTGGGAAATCCGGAAATTCGGAAAAACTCCATAAAAAGATCGAAATTCCAAAAACTCGAAAAATCCAAAAATTCCGAAAAACTAAAAATTCCAAAAAAAAAAAACGAAAACCGGATAATTTCGAAAATTTTCGAAATCCCGAAAGATCGAAAAAAGTTTTAAAATTCTGGAAAACCCAAAAAATTGAAGATTCCTTAAATTTCAAAATTAAAAAAATTTTGATAACCTAAAAGTTTCAAAAATCCAAAGAATCGGAAAAATTCCGAAAATTCAGAAGTTCTTGTAATTCAGAAAAACAAAAAAAAATCGAAAAACCGAAAAACCCCAAACATCTAAGAACGCGAAAAATCGGAAAATTCCAAAAGTTTCGAAATTATTAAAATTGGGGAAAATGCCTAAATTCTAGCTTTCCAGGCCAATTTTTCAGGATATAAATACGCCTCAGGGAACCAAAAAAATTTAAAAAAAAAAAAAATTTCGTGCTTGATGGATTATTAAAATTCCTCCCCTTTGTTTTCGAACAAGCATTTGTTCCTTATTATTGTTCCTTTTTTTGACAACCTTCTTAAAAACGAAAACACCAAAATTTTCCCAAAAATTTGGGACACATTCAAAAGCAAAAAAATTCGAAAATAGGAAAAAAAAGAAGCTCTTTGAAGCCCTTCTTTTCTATTTTTAGGAGGATATACTTCACGACTACTATTCCTTGACAAGGATATTTTTCATTCCACATTCTTTGATCTCTTGTAACCTTTTTTTTAATCTTTGAGGGACTTTTTTTGCAAAAAAATGTGTGGGATGAAGGTTTATGAATTTTTCATAACTGATAAATGGACAACTATCAAAACTCAAACTTTCAGAAACATCTATCATCAAACTTCACATCTCCATTTAATACATATGTATGCATATTCCAGGAAAAAACCAATTTGGGGAAAATTGGATTTTTCCCCCGGCAAACATCATGTTTATAGTTTCCAATATTTTCAGAGAAAACCTAGAATTCTGAGAGAAATGCGAAAAATAATAATTGGGGGTATCCACTTGTTTTCTGGGTACCAAAAAACAAAGACACCGCCTGGTTCCCATCAAGATTTGACAATAAAATTGAAGGGGAGAAAATGTTTTTTTATTATTTTCCCCAGGGATGTATTATATTTTGACAGAAGATATTTGGGTTTTTGGAATATAAGATTGGAGTAAAAAACCGAAAATGGGAGAAGAGAATGGGGAGAAAGGTTTGAGGCCAGAATGATTAGTATTCAAGGTATAACTTCCTGGTACTGGAAATTGAAGGTTTATAAATTTATCGAGTTTTTAGAATCTGAAATCCAAAGAATTAGGGGAATCCTGCATTCAGAATGTGAACACTCGATTTTAACGCCATCTTCAACTTTGAGCTTGTTTATCACGGCTCCTATGAGAGATATTAAAAATCTATCAACTAATAAAATGTTTGTCATATCATCACAAATATTTTATCAGTTGACAGATTTTCGATTACGCTGACAGGAATCGATGTAAGTAGGTTCAAAGGACGATAGTTTTTAAAGAGTTTCACGGATTTCAAAAGTCAAATTTCTATTATGGCACACTGACCTCACGAAAAGTGCTATAAAGGAAGAGGGAAGTGAAGGGAAGAACCAGTTCTCTCTTCTCTGGGTTCTAGAGAGGCGACCCGGGGGAGAGATCCGGGTCATGGGACACGGGTCATGGAGTCCAGGTCATGGGGCCCGGTTCCGGCACAAGAAGCCTGGGTCCTGGGTCCTGGGTCCTGGGTCCTGGGTCCTGGGTCCTGGGTCCTGGGTCCTGGGTCCTGGGTCCTGGGTCCTGGGTCCTGGGTCCTGGGTCCTGGGTCCTGGGTCCTGGGTCCTGGGTCCTGGGTCCTGGGTCCTGGGTCCTGGGTCAGAAACAAGATGAAATGCTGGTGGAGAATCTAGATGGGAGCGTGGATGAAATCTGCTATCTACGAGAAATCGGATCATTTGGAGCGCTTCTGATGGTTCAGATTGAAAATAAGAAGAATGTTAGTTATTGATCTTGCCATTTGTTTTTATGAAACTGGATTTAAAAAAAATGATGAATCGTTTGCTACGTATTCTTTGTGATTTTCAAAGAGGAATCAAATAATATTCAACTGATGAAATGCATTTCGTATAACGATGAACAATTTTTCAATTGAGAACTTTTCTAGATCTTTCGCAGGAAATGATATAAGTTCAGTCAAAGTTGACAGTATGGGGGTCCTTCTACTAGAGGATCTACGGTAATCTGCGTCCACAACTTTTCAAAGGATCTAGAACCCAGAAAATCTGAAGACAACTAGCCCAAGTACGTAAAAAATGAGTGAGAAATAAACCAGAAAGTTCTCATATACTCCTTCTTTTCCTCTAGACAAATTCTTACTCAAATAGACAGGTCCCCGCCTATCCGCTTCTCATAAAATATGAAATCCGAGACGGACGTACCTAATTGGAATGATGAATAAGATAGAAGGCGGGGGCATGATATACATTGCTCATTGATGTTATGCATACGTGGTTTTTCAAAAAATCTAAAGATCCAGATCAGATCACAAAAAAGGAGCGAAATGCAATTTTGGAAATGTTTCAATGTATAGCAGGACGTAATTACATTTTTCTTCGGAGGTACATGAAAAAGGAAAAAGTGTTAGGAAAAAGAAAAAAGAGAGGAGGTGTCGAATTTTGAGATTGTTGAACTAGATGTTGATGCTTTTCGAGAATTATATAAGTGTTGGGAATCTGATTTGAAAAAAAAATATTTTTTCAATTGTGGGAGTTTCACAGAGGTACGAATGGATACTAATTAATGACGTTCTTTGGTATTGAATGGATACTAATTAATGACGTTCTGTGGTATTTTTGATAAACAAGGAACTAATTAAAATAATTGTACCATAGATCGAAATGAAAAGAAATCAAAAGTAATGAATTTACATGATTTTTTAAAAGTTTGAAAAAAGTATATAAAAATATTCCACCCACCATTAAGGATTCCAAGAAAACGAGGGTTGCAATGAGAAGAGATGCAATATGTAAATCTGAGAGTTGCTACAATGAAAATAGCACTACACTTTTGGATGGATGCTATTTTGGTATTCATAAGACTAGAAAATGCTTTTAAGAATCGGCTAGAAACTTGGAATCTTAGAAAAAGACCTGCACAAGATACATTTAAGGACACTTCCAGAAACTTGTAAGCCACACTTTCTGATCCATGGGCTTTCAGCTATCATTAACATGATTTTCTTGGATAGGAGATTTTTCAAAGTTTTTGGAAGTTACCGTATGTCTTCTGACGTGACGGTGTGCACTGATTAGTGTGGCTTCGTTCAGAAACATCACCTTGCTCCACAGTAGCGCAGCTAGCAGTGTGGCACCTCCAGCGACGGTTCCACAAATTCAACTTCTCGACAAACCTCAACAAACCTCATATAAGAGAAAGATTTAGAGGAGCCAGTATGAGCATCAGCTAGTCAGACAGTTCTGAACTTTTGATTATTGAATAAAATACAGAAAAACGGAAGAAAACTCCATTTATTCAACCAACAAATCTCATAACAAGTAATCTCAAACCATTTCCATAGCATTCCTTGCTGGCGCTACAGCGTTATTTCTATTCTGATATCTCACCCCAAAGTTCCCAGAACTGAATTTCAGGATCAACGCTCTTCGATATGCTGCTAACCGATCGTTATACATCAACATTAGAAATCTGAAAATTTCAGAAACCTCTAAAAATCTGAATGTCTCATACCCATCCAGTACGTGTAGACATTACCATATAAAAGTCTGACAGAAGAATGTCCAACGTCTGTCGTCTATTATAGTGCTGAAATATTCACCAGATATTGAATAAGTTCTGTGAGAGAGCTTCTTGAATTTCATATTAAAAACAAAACTGATTTGCCAAATCGAATCTTGGAAAACAGTCTGGATAAACTCTGAAATGTTCCTTCGAATGTGTTTTCCGTTTTCAGAAGGGTCTCGGGACAGTCTCTTTCTCTGAAAATCCGAACTTTTAAAATCGAAAATAAAGCTTCTCATTACCAAATAATAGCATTTAAAGAATGTCGGTATGTTGATTGCAAACGGCACAACAAAGTAGAAAATCGCCCAGTAAGACATTTTAGTAGTAGAATCCACAAGGCCACCGTAAGCCAGCCGGCTTGCATTGAAGACCAAGTAGGTTTGGGTTTCTGAGAATGCAGTTTACATTTAGCGGTAGGTCCTAATGTCTGTCTTTCTGAATCTCCAAATAATTCGATCTACTATCTCGTAAGTTTGTTCAGTACCGATAGCAAGATGTGAGATAATCGTGATTTTCATATTGAACACTTTTTCATATTTTGCAGTGAAAAACAATGCGAAAAATCTGTTAAATGCCATGAATACTCCTTGGAGTTCATTATGAATATTGCAGTTGAGGGATATAGAAATTGAAAGAGATTCGAGAATCGGTGGGAAATAATTGTGGCCTCTGAAATTTAATTTTTAAATCCTAATATGATGTACAGTGGCGAGAAGCGTTGAGGAGAATTTTTTTGAACATTCATAACTTTGTTCGAAATTGCTCAATTGACTTGAAATTTTGCATGAGAATAGCTGTAAAATCCAAAAACATAAAAATTTGGTTTTTGAAAATTTCTCATTCTCACAGTTTTCAAAGCAGTTTCAAATGTAACAGTGGTGAGAGAATCCAAAAAAACTTTTTTTTCAGAATTATTTCTGGCTTTGATTTTAAATGTCAAATGATTCTCAGTGTCCAAATATGCATAAAAAAGTTTTGAAGAACTTTGGAAGTCGGGCTCTCGAGTTATGATGCTCAGAGCACACAAGGTATGTGTCGGCATTTTTACCATAACTCAGCTGAAAATGTATTTTTGAAGTTCAAAATTTCACAAATGATGTGTTTTAAGTTGCTTAACAGTTATATTTTAAAATTTATTCAATTGTGTGAATTTTGTTTCATTTCTTTTGACCTAAAAAATAGTTATGAAAACATAAAAATAGTAAAAAAAATTTTACAATTGAAAATTTTTGAACATAAAACTGACAAGCAACTTAAAGCACATCATTCCTAAAATTTCGAGCATCAAAAATACATTTTCAGCTGAGTTATGGCAAAAATGCCGACACATACCTTTTGTGCTCTGAGCATCATAACTCGACAGCCCGACTTCCAAAATTCTTCAAAACTTTTTTGGTGCAGTCTTGAACACTGAGAATCATTTGACTAAAATCGAAGCCAGAAAAATCTAAAATCGAAGCCAGAAAAAATTCTGAAAAAAACATTTTTTTGGATTCTCGAACCACTGTTACATCTGAAACTGTCTCTGAAAATGTTTTTGGATTTTACAGCTATTCTCATGCGAAATTTCAAGTCAATTCAGCAATTTTGAACAAAGTTATGAATGTTCAAAAATTGCCGTATTTGCTTTGAATGAAACCACCCTAGCTCAAAGTACTTGTACAGCTTAATTATCTCGGTTCCAATAAGAGACTTCAAAAGTTTGTCAACTGATAACATATATATGATATTATGATAAACAATTTATCGGTTTAAAAATTTTTAATATCTCTCGTAGGAACCGAAATAATTGAGCTCAAGGTGCAGCAAACTTCTATTAGATTTAGTAACAACTTACAAAATAGTAACAGAAAGAAAGATTCCAAGGAAAGCGACTAACAAAATGAACGAGTTATTAAATGCCCGAACAACGCAAACCAGGTTAAACAAACTCTTTCTTTGCTTCTTATCACCAAAATAGTTATAGATAAATGTGAAATTCAAGACAGTCGCTAGACAAGAGTTCTGAAAAAAGTTTTTTCTCTAAGGAAATTGGCAATTGAACTCATCATCAGTGCGGCTACTGTATTTGTTCTATCGACCAAGATATAATTCTCCGTGGAGTTCATAGCGATCAACCGGAGGACTTTGAGACTAAATCTAAAAACTTCGCTAAAATATTTTTGAGAGAGCCGAGGTGTCCAAATTGCTGCTTACGCTTTTCGTCATCGTGATTTTTTCCTAAATTCAGGTCTAATTTGAGGTTTGTCGCCGGAAGTTTTCGGCCCTTAAACTCGAAACTCAAATCATCTATGACTGCACATTTATTAATTATTTTTTTTTGCGAAATTTTTTATTTGAAAAATGAATATGAGGAAAAAAAAACAATTATGACGGAGAAAATGAGACACTAGCTCTTGCTCCAGCGAGAGAATTAGCAGAATTTCCAGATTTGACCTGATGAACTTTCAGATATTTTGTGCACTGCTCACGGACCGCCCTGAAATCAAACGATGTTCAAAGGTGAGGGGATGGGAGAAAAACAATTTTCTCTGAATTTCGTTCTTATACGCCCATCGAGGAGTCGATCACTGTGTGAACACTGAACATTGCACACCGTTACGTCAGAATGCATACCCTAACTACAAAAACTCCCGTCCCCACTCTTTTTAGAGACATTAACAAAACAGTCACTGACCGATTACAAACCAATGTCAGAATGGGATTGATATAACAATGAATAACCACGACTCCGTTTACAATTGCTCGATTCCTTCTCACTGACATATCAACAAGCTGTATTCCCAACATTGGTTGATGCCAAATCGTTATCAATACAGTAACGTAAAAAGTTACAAAAGTCGATTGAATCAAAATCATCATCTCGCTTTTGCGAGATTGTACACAACTTGACATGTTCTTTTTCTGAAAAACCAAACTCTGGATAGTTGACCTGAACCCTGGGGTACCTTGAAAATCAAATAAGCCATGAACATATAAGCCAAATAGGTTAACGGCAAACAAGTGAAGCTTATTGTTAGTTCTTGGGCATCAACGAATTTCATTACTGGGAGACTGTAATTGAAGCCCCAGTTTGGGGAATCAAGGATAACATATTGGAAGTAGGAACCGAAAAAGAATAGAACAATTGCCCATCCTCCGAGGAGAACGAGCATGAGCTCTACAACGACTGGCATCTTCTTCAGGGTGATTGTGTTGTTGAATATCAGAATTCGACAAAACGCAAGAATAGTGATTATAGGGAACTCGCCAACCCATCCGATGTTCAGTAAAGTTCCAATGACCTAAATACTTACATAATATGAAGGAAATAAGCGCAGACGACAAGACACTCTAATTGTCTGCGTCTCTCCTAAACTTTGAAAGCCCATATCTCAGCCCCCAAATGTACTATCTCAGCCCCCAAACGTCCTTACAATGAATATTGCACCGAATTGTGTCATTATCAATATAACTTTTGTTATAACGAAAACACCTCGAATTTGAAAAAAAGAACATTCTAAAGGGATTTTAAAAAGATTTTTTCAATTATTGAAAACATTTTTGAGATCTGAAACTGTGGTAAAAACTGCTCAAAACCATCCAAATTTCAAGTTTCCAGTTCACCTGTAAACCGGGATACAGTCATTTAAAGTTTGGAAGCGCAGACAGCGAGAGGCTCTAACGGTCGGCGTCTCTTCTAAACTTCAAAGGCCCACACCTCAGCTCCCAGATGAGCTAGAACAATAAAACTTTCACTGAATTCTGTCAATTTTTCTGTATTTTTTTATTCATATAAAAACAGTTTTAATGGAAACTTTTTTTTTTAATTCCTACCCCTATCGCCAAATGAATCCTTTCATGCAACTTTGGAAATACTATCATAGGTCCTGATAGAAAATGACAAATTGCCTGCATCAGTTGGAGTCCGTTAATGATGTTCATTAACTTTAGCACCACATTTGAGCTCATTCGATTCTTCTGGTGGATGGCCTGGATGATTCAGAACTTTTGAAAAAAAAAACTTTTTATTATCCAAATTACCCGTATCAGTATGAAAAATAGAGGGAAAAGCGGCAGGGTAAGACAAAAGTAAACGATCCCAGTTAATAATAATTCCAGGTCATCGTTTAATTGGAATAAGCCCATCGTTAGAGAGATCTTTGGAAGTGTTCCTTAGTTGGCGAATATAGAATCGGTGAAAGATCTCTTCCTTCTTTTATACCAATTTTTCTGGTTACGTAGGATACACACCGGTGCGGTTCAATGAACAATACCTTCTGATTTGCTTTCCTACCCTGAAGTTATCCTGAAAAAAAGAAGCAAACTTCAAAACTCATAGCAATTAGGAAGGCTATTCAGAACGAAAAGAATCTAGTTTTGGGTGCAAAAAGTGTTAGGTGTCATCAGGTTTAAATTTATCACTTTAATCTGTGAGGTCAGGTGGGTGGAAGAAAATATTGGGAAAGGCAGAGAGTCTAAAGGGTTTAAACACCAAAGTTTCAATTCTGAGAACAAAACTTATCAGAAATGAAGCAACGAAGCATGCCGGCTTCCGGTACGTGTATTGTGTTCTGAGAATTCGTATGAATTCCTATTTCCGTGTCTCATGTGACTACATAATTCACAATTACATTACAGTGGTTTTGTATGGTTTGGTATCTTTGAAATCAAAAATGAACCCAAGTTATTATTACGATTCCTGGAAAGGATATGTCTGCCTACGCTCCGATAATTTCTTGATTCAATCTGCCGAGAACGACGAGAGCTGCGATGGAAAAAGTGGGTCAACTCCTTTTTGTGGTCATCTTTTCAATTGCAGTCTTTTCTACCAAGATGACATTTAAGAGCCCCAAGCAATTATTTATCCAAAAGGGCAAGGTCCGGAAAATACGGTGGGTGCAAAAGAATAGTTCAGCCAAACGACATGATTTTTTGGCTTATCCCTCTAGTCACAGTCGATTTCGCATTGTCGTGCTGAAAGTAAGCCTAGGTGTTTTCTCCTTGTTTCGATTCGACTGCCAGATTCAATTCCTCTTAATAGGAACTACACAAGACAGCAGTTTTACTGGTACCGCCATTTAGAAGTTCCAATCTTCATTTCTTTGGCAGGTCATCAAACGCATAGCATCCTAATTTTACGGGAAATTTAGGTTACAAGACGTACAAAGCTTGCTCTTTTCCGTCAATCAACTGAACCTTACTTACGTTGATGGAGCAGCTTACGCACTTCCCATCTACGGTAATTAGTACATGCACCCAACTGAACGTGTCAAGGAATGATGGGAGAAACATTTTCGTTAATCGGGAACAAACGGACACACACACACACACACAGAATTTGGTTTTTGTTAATAGTAAAGATAGGTACGCCTGAATGGTAAAATCAAAATTTCTGAGAAGGCTGTAAAAATCTGAATGGGTTTGAATAAAAAATCGTATTTCTGATAGTGAGAGGAGAACTGTTATGAAAAATCAGACATGTACCGGAAGCATACTGGCTTCCAGTACATGTCTGATGTACCGGAAGCATACTGGCTTCCAGTACATGTCTTGTGTTCTGAGAATTTCTATGAATTTCTATTTCCGTGTCTTATGCGACTACGACTACACTACATTACGATGGTTTTATATGGTTTGGTCCCTTTGAAAAAACAAATGAACCCGAAATATTATCACGATTCCTGGAAAGTTTAGTAGCGGAACTGGAAGAAATTCTTAAAAAACACATGATGGAATTTGAAACCCTAGAAGCGGTGTTATATAAAGCCAGATAGTTTGGCTTGCCAGTTTTCGGAAGCGTTCTGCAATTTCTGTTAATCAAGCTGAAATTCCATAGCCTTCTTCTCTGATTGCTTGTCCAGCGAGGATCAGGGGAGTCATACAGGGTGTTATATAGAAATTGTCGATTCTACACAGCACAATACTTGCAAAATCCCAAATCTCAACATCCTAATTCCAAGATTCCGGATGCATGGTTCGGTGGTGCAAACCGTAAAACCTCTAAAAGAAGGACTTTCCATACTGAGCTTTTTTTCCATACAGAGCTTATGTTTGAGCTTATTTTTTTGGCTCCTGTGCTAGATATCCAAAATTTGTCCACTGTTTATGGCATTATGATAAACACTTTTTCAGTATACGACAACAGTCGGCCGCTTATCTTGCGCCACCCCGTAGCTCAGGTGGTAAAGATTCGACAACTCAAGCGTTGAGCCCACAAGTTCAACTACTCGAGGAGTGGCGCTTATGAATGAAAAATAAAATTTTTTTCATGTCCCTCGTCACCTTTAAATACCACAGAGTGCATTGAAAATGCGAATCTCCTCCGTTGTACTTTTTCAAAACATCCAGATCGATCCAATCTCCTTCCTGCTGTGTCATGGACACCCAATAATCCAGATTTCATTTCCTGCTTCCAAAAAAATCCACTTTCCCCAACACCCTCTACATGGAAACGTGCCAAAAGCATTTGGCCGCCCCAAACCTATGTTTATAATCATAAATGCCGAAAAACTTGGTAACCAGATTACATGGAAAAGGGAGCAAACGGCGAAAAACGGCCATAATTATGTCTTTCCTCTTGTCTACTCTCTACAACGTCGATCTCCTGGCTTACGGTGGTCTAGTGAAAACTGCTGATGAAATGTTCATCTGGGCGCTAGCTCTTACTTTCATTCCATTTGCCATCAATGGTGTTACTTTCATGAAGTTTTGGCAAATAGTAAGTTAAAAAATTCACACTTGAGAGTTTCGAAATCGGTGTTCAGAGAAGAAGATCAACTCGCGACGCAGAGAAATGGAAGCTAGCCTAAAGGAATATGATTCAATTTGTGCAAACTGTGTTTCAAGATTCCATGTATCCAATCAGTATCGTTTTTAACATGAAACTCAAATAACTTTTAAACCATTTTTAAATTCTAAAAAAAATATTTCAGCACTATCGTTCACCATCGCTTATGGTACTTTCTATGTCAAACATTTGTATGGCAAACTTTACATACTCTTGATGGGTAAGTATACTTTAAAACCTATAATTGAAGGGCTTTTAACTTTGCGCTAATTTATCTTAAAAAGTTGTTAACTGATAAAACATTTATGATAATATCACAAAAATTTTATCTTTTGACACATTTTTTGATACCTTCAAAAAGAAAGAAGGTAAAATAACTCAAACTGGACAATGTGGGGGGGGGGCCTTCTATTACAGGTTTTACGGTATTAGGCCTTCTCATGCTACTAGTTTTAAAACGTTTTCAGATTTATCATGACAATGTTCAATGACAAATTGACACTTCTCAGAAAATCGATAATCGCCAGAATCAGTCCGGCACACAGTCATCAAGCGCCTCGCGCGGACAGACGTGTCACTCCACCGACAGCTGTTGTCTCGTGAAACTGAAATTATTTGGCATTTCTCATTTTGTAATTTTTGGCATTTACTGTGATACCAGTCGGTTTGAGCCCCCTGCCGGGGGCTCAACCTCATAGGTTTTGTTTACTTTATCTTACATTTGAATTCCTAATTTCTGAAATTCCCACTTTCCGTGTGTCCGAAATTTCCGAGTTTCTTCATTTTCAAAAGGTTATATGTTCCCGATATCGGAATTTTTGAATACCGTACTTTCTCGAATAGATGCCCACATGTAGAATCTCTTGTTTTTCTAGAATGTTCTTGGATTTTCTGATTACAGATTATTAGGGTTTCTGAAATTCAGATATTTAAAAAAACCCACACACAGCCCTAATTCTAAGCCTTTGGTTTCAGATCACTTTGAAAAAATAGGGAAGTGATTACAATACCTGTATTTTCTGGAATTTTCTAGAATGTTCTGGAACTTCCTAGGATTTTCTGGAGTTTCCTAGAACGTTCTGAATCTTTCTGGAATTTACTGGAATTTTCTAGAATGTTCTGGAATTTTCTGGAACTTCCTAAAATGTTCTGGAACTTTCTGTGAATTTTCTGGAATTTACTGGAATTTTCAAAAATGTTCTGGAATTTTCTAGAATGTTCTGGAACTTCCTAGGATTTTCTGGAATTTTCTAGAATGTTCTGGATCTTTCAAGAATGTTCTGGAATTTTCTAGAATGTTCTGGAATTTTCTGGAACTTTCTAAAATGTTCTGGAACATTCTGGAATTTTCTGGAATTTACTGGAATTTTCAAGAATGTTCTGGAATTTTCTAGAATGTTCTGGATCTTTCTGGAATTTACTGGAATTTTCTAGAATGTTCTGGAATTTTCTGGAACTTTCTAAAATGTTCTGGAACATTCTGGAATTTTCTGGAATTTACTGGAATTTTCAAGAATGTTCTGGAATTTTCTAGAATGTTCTGGATCTTTCTGGAATTTACTGGAATTTTCTAGAATGTTCTGGAATTTTCTGGAACTTTCTAAAATGTTCTGGAACATTCTGGAATTTTCTGGAATTTACTGGAATTTTCTGGAATTTTCTGGAATTTTCTGGAACTTCCTAGGATTTTCTGGAACTTTCTAGAATTTTCTGGATCTTTCAAGAATGTTCTGGAATTTTCTTTAATTTTCTGGAATTTTCTGGAATGTTCTAGAATTTTCCGCATAACTTAAGAACCTTGTATTCAAAAGGAAACTACTATGACCCATTTCCAGTAGTCCACAGGATCGAAATTCAAGTGATATACAAAAGAAACGAAATTTTCGAAATTTTTCAGTTCTAAAGATTTGTGATCAATTTTATGCAGGCAACACATAGAGGCCAAAAAACCGTTTTGCAAAATTTCGTGAAGTTTTATTGAGTTTGAGCATAGTTTTGAAATTTTCGATTCTCAACAGTGTAGCTTCCCTATAAGCTAGAAGGCCCAGGACACCATAGACATGAAGCGCTCGGCAGTCCATGACTACATACCACACACCACTATAGGAGTCCCACGCGCCTTTGAGTTATTCAAGTTAATGTCCGAGACGGACACACAGACACACACACAGAAAAGTTTCCTTAGTAAGAAGTAGATTTATTCACAACGTCTACAAAATTACATGTTATTTGCGAATTTTTTTTCGAAGAGAATTGTCTACGGTTGTCTTTTTTTCTTTGGGTTTTTCTATTTTTTTGTTGAATGTATGAATCATATTTTTGAATCAGTTTATACTACGCTGTTACAGTTGAATTTGAAACTTTTTCTTTGGATTTTAAGTCATGATCTAGAAAAGTTCTCGGGCACCGACCCGGGCCCAATGACCCGGGTCCCATGACCCTGGCCCCATGACCCGGCCCCATGACACTGGTCCCATTACCCGGATCCCATGACCCGGGCCCCATGACCCAGGCCCCATGACCCGGGCACCATGATCCGGGCCTCATGACCCGGGCACCGTGACCCGGGCACCGTGACCCGGACCCCATGACCCGGACCCAATGACCCGGGCCCCAGGACCCGGGCACCGACCCGGGCCCAATGACCCGGGCCCCAGGACCTGGGCCACATGAGCCAGGCCCCATGAAGCGGGCCCCATGACCCTAGCCCCATGACCCGGCCCCATGACCCTGGCCCCATGACCCGGCCCCATGACCCTGGTCCCATTATCCGGATCCCATGACCCGGGCCCCGTGACCCTGGCCCAGTGACCCTGGCCCCATGACCCGAGCCCCATGACCCGAGCCCAATGACACGGCACCATGACCCTGACCCCATGACCCGGGCCCCATGACCCGGGCACCAGGCCCCGGGCACCGACCCGGGCCCAATGACCCGGGCCCCAGGACCTGGGCCACATGAGCCAGGCCCCATGAAGCGGGACCCATGACCCGGGCCCCATGACCCGGGCCCCATGACCCTGGCCCATGACCCGCGCCCCCATGACCCGGGCCCATGACCCGGGCCCCCATGACCCGGATCCCATGACCAGGGCTCCATGACCCGGATCCCATGACCCGGGCCCCATGACCCGGATCCCTTCCCCGGGTCACCTCTCTGGAGCCCCGAGAAAGAGAGAACTGATTCTTCCCTCCACTTCCTTCTTTCTTTATACCGCTCTTCCAGAGGTCAATGGTCCAGAGGTCAGAGGGTCACAAGTTTTTAAACCGTATCACGTAGTTTCATAATTTAATATTTTTAAATTTCTCTCATTCAAATTTTTTTTCATCACGTATAAATGCTAAGTGAAATTTTTCAAAGTTGCGGTTAGGAGCCGGTAGCGGCACTGCATCTCCAACGGTGGCCCACAAGTTCGGCTCCTCAAGCGCACCCAATAATCGATCTTCATTAGCTTTTGTTTTCTGAGAAAGCACTAGAAGTACAGTGAAAAGAATATCAGAAAAAATATTTTTAATCCATTCATGGAAATCTCTAACTCTATGGAAATCTCTAACTACAAAAGTCGTCCTTCAATTATGGTAAATGCCATTTTTTAATTTTTTTTTTTTTTGTCGTCACTTCCTGTTCTTAGAGGCATCAGGAAAAATTCTCCCAAACTAAAAAACCCAAATGGGTTGAATTCCGTAATTTATGACACATAACTAACTTGGTACCATGCGATACCTATACTAAACTTCCCTAATCCCAGGTCCTCTGGGTCCTAGATCATATGTCACCCCCAAAATGATGTGTATATTTTCCAAGCCGCCAGACAAACTTCCTTGTTACTCATTTCTTTCTGATAAACAGAAATTGTTGCTCTAACAATTATCACAACTATAGTTATAGTCTATAGACTAGTAGTGCCTGAGCATTTTGAAGACTAACACTCCGAGTTTGAGCTTCTTTTACTCCCCGTTGGTGTCATAGTCATAATTGCCATAGTTCAAAGATTTGCCCGCTAGAGAAAGAGAAAAACTAGGCTAGAAAAAACATCTGTCTAAACGATCAGACACTTCGAATAAGAGAAACATAAGCAAACTTTGTTTAGTAAACTTTATTTAGTTTTTTCTTCTTTTTTCGGGTTGAGAAGAAAGAAGGTGTCTGGCCTGGCGATGAATTCATCCACGTCTTTAGAAGACTACACAATTACAAGTTGGCCGAATGCAGTGGCTCTTGTCATGATGATCCTGGTAAGTGTAACTAATGAGCACAACTAAGGCTTCAATTTTGGTCAATCGAAAATCGGCGACCGCCGACCGACCGCCGACCAGCCGGCTGATAGCTGACCTAGCTGACCGATCGGCAGACAATTTTCAATTGCTAAATCAAACAGCGCGCACGTAAACACTCTCTCGGAAATTCCGCTTCAACTGAGTCAACGGTCGGTCGGTCGGCTGAATTTCCATACCGAGTCTAAGCCTTACTTGATAATTGGAAATTTTCTAGAACTCCTTCATTGGCCTCCTATTCAACTCATTCATCATCTACAGTTTCATAACGGACCACAAGCAGAAAACGTCTTTCAACTTGATTTGTGTATTCCGATCAATCAATAATAACCTCATTATATTGCTTCTGGCAATCGTTTATCTTCCAGCCACCGTACTGTAAGTTTATGGGTCTATTTTAGGATTGGCTCAATCCTACTGATCATGCCTGTAGACCGGGCCCTGCCTTAGTTTCTTTGATAATCATTTTTTTTGAATCAACTAATATAGGTATAGTAGAACTCGACGAGTGCTACAAAATGATACAAATTGAATTACTTTATCTTGTCTATGAACAAAGTTGCGGGCCAAAAACCGTCTGAGCTACGCGGTCCAAAATTTATGGCCTTGCTGTGACCGCTCAACGCTTTTTGGCTTGTAACTTGGTTCTTAGACAAGATTCAGTTTTCTACACAGTTTCATTTTGTAGTACTCGTTGAGTTCTATCATGTCTAATTGAGTTGGTCCAAAAATATTGATTCTCAAAGAAGCTATGGCAGGGCCCGCAAAAAACTGGTTTACGAGTATGCTTCTTTGATTGAGGCTATCATTTCGATTGGTTGAAAATCAGCAACCTGTGACCGCCCGCGCTGACTAATCGGTTGGCGGTCTGCAGTCGGCGGTCGGTCGGACCGAATAACCTTACCCTTCATTTCCAGCGGCTATTCCATCTACCCTCCAATGGTCGAAACTGTCCTCCTAACCACTGCCCTCAATCTCAAAGTCTACAACGAATTCCAAAGTATCTATCTCTCGATTAACCGCCTTGTTGCCATATATTTCCCCCTTAGGTATAACCTATTTTTTGGGATCAAAGCAACATTGGCTTTTCATATTCTCTATTATCTGGATCGAGTTCGAAATCTCACCTTTGAAAATATCGATCGTGGCAGTAAGTTTTCTTCATGCTCTACAAAAAACGAAGCACATCTAAACATTCAGATACCTCAAAATACATGCTTTATTCTGTGAAACACCTGGCCTACGGAGGCATTCTGGTGACACCCGATGGAATGTTCTATTGGGCTGTTGGCCTCGTCATTTTCCCATTTTTTGTGAACGCATTCACGTTTGCCAGATTCTATTATCTGAAAAATCAAGCGAGTCAGAATTCGGAAAAATTTAATAACGCCAAGAAGAATATGTCAATGTTCGTTCAAACGGTAATCCAGGATTCGTTATTCTCGGTCAGTGTGATATTCACGCTGAAGATGAAGTAAGTTTAGAGATTCTATAAAAACTGGGAAACACAAGTTTTAGTACTTTGATCGACCATCGCTTCTACACATTCTTCAGTCAGACTTTCTTATGGCAAAGTATTCATGTGATTGATGGGTTAGTTGTGAGGATCAATTTCGGTCCGTCGAAAGTTGCCGACAGCTGGCCGACCGCCGAGCGATAGCCGACCAAACTGATCGATCGGTCGGCGCGCCGACCGAATTCTTGAATTTGCGTTTCAACATGCTAGAGAGTGTTTGCGTAGACAGCACTTTTTTTACGACGCACTACTCCATAAATGCGCTGTGTGTCGTCGTAAAATAAAATGCTATCACTCGCAAGTTGACCCGCAAATTCAAGAGCTCGGTGGGCGCGCTTACCGATAGTTCAGCTTGGTCGGCGGTCGACCTGGAATCCCTATGCTCTTGTTTTTTTTTCCAGAATTATCATGATCCTCTTCAACGAACGTCTCTCTATAGGCAAAAACAAACGGATCAGTCCCAAGGAAAACTCGCAGAAAAACACTTCTACAGTGGCCGCTACAGTACCACATACAGCACCGACCAGCCATCTTCCAGTAGTACATTGAGACTTTGCACTTTGACGAAAGTCAAGATGATGATTACTAATTTCTAGACTGATGATTATGTGATAGTGATTTGTCTAGACGCACTTTTAACGAGATTTCTAAATTTGGATTGTGAATGTATGTAGTTTGATCAGAAGGGCTTTCAGAAACTTGTTTACTGCCGATAAATATAAAAATGAACTATAAATGTTTACCGCATTTAAGATTATCGTATAGTGTCCAAAAACAAACTATGGACAACAGTAATTGAGGATCCCGGTACTAAACAGAAACCCAAAAAGTCAATTTGAGAACATTTATCTCGGTTCCTATAAAAGTTATCAAAATCTTGTCTACTAATAGTGGTGATATTATGATGAACAATAGTGGTGATATTGTGATGAACAATTTATCAGTTGACAAAATTTTGATATCTCTCAAAAGAACCAAGATAATTGAGCTCAAAGTTAACGGTTTGGGAATCCTGTTATTAGAGTAAATACGTTTTTTGAAATCAGTAAATATCCCATATTAGCATGTATTCCTAGAATCCTTCATCAATAAAACACAAACTACGGTTAAACTTTACACTACAATTCGAATCGAAGGTTAAAGAAACACAAGTTCAATTTTAGGCGTTTCAGGAAACTACGCCCTGAAAATATGTTTTCCTAGTATTCCTGACATTTTCCTTGTTGTTTGGACTCGGTTAATTTTGTTACCCGTGAAAACATAGGCGGCCAAAAGTTTGTGTATAAATAGCCATGAACCCGGGTTAGACCAAAAAAACACTACCACTTGATATTTTTTTTCCAGTTCGACTTTCCATCCGACTACCATCAGCTGATGCACTTTTAGGAACTTTGTTTATACTGGAATTGCCTTCCAATCGCATTTCACCTGTTGATTGTTTTCTTGTTGATAAAAAGCCAAACATTAAAAATTTTCCTGGAATTTCATTCCATTGAAGTGTTATTAACTAGTGTATACCAGTTTTATATCTCATATATTTCATTGATTGATTGGAATGGAGCTAATGAATCTTATAGGATCGCTAGTGATATTGGTGGCAAGTTAATTTTTATATTACCAGACTTTTAAGTTCATTATTTGGATAGGGCAATTTTGAATTTTTTTCCCTCTAATTGTAAAATACATAGAACATCTGTAGTTTTAAAAATTCGACTTTAGTTTAGAATGTCCTAGAAATTTGACTATTATTTAGAATGTTCTAGAAATTTGACTATAGTTTAGAATAGGGTTCCGAAAAAAGCTCAGTCATGAGCTTAAGCTCACGTGGGCTCATCATGAAGCAGGCTCATATGAGCCTTTTTCGACTCCACGTCAAAGCTCATACAGGCTCATTTGACGAAAATATTGATTTTGAAAAAAGCTCATCGAGGCTCATTTGACGTAATTATTGATTTTGATAAAGTCTCATCGAGGCTCATTTATATAAAAGCTCACGTTGACTCTTTTTCAAAAAAAAAAAGGCTCACGGAAGCATAGTTCAAAAAATACACTAGACAAGTGTTCACGTGGCAAAAAATAATAATAAAAACCACACTTCAGCCAAATATTCAACTAATCAAGTGCCCTGATGGGCAGAAACAATGGTGGCCTAGAAAAATTATCTTGCAAAAATTAGGTAATCCTGTGAAAATAGCCTAGAAATCATATCAGGTGAATATCAAGCCATTTAAACGCAATTTTCACTTGGTGGCCTAACTTTTTCAAGTGAGTTTTCTAGGCCATCAAGTTTTATGGTCCAGAAATGGTCTGTCATGCACCTAATATGTTTTGTGGTCAATTTTGACACAGTGCCCCAACTTTTCTATGTTAAGTTCTTTAGGCCACCATTTTTATGGACCATAACTCGTCTAACATTCACCTGATAGGGTTTCTAGCTCATTTGGACACAAGGCCTAACTTCTACATTTCGAGTTTTCTAGGGCAACAAATTTTATGGCCTATCAATGGTCTGGCATTCACCTCTTTGTTTTCTCGGCAGCCATGTTAAAATTGCTTTGAAAACTCCATCAAAAAGTTAGGCCACCATATTAAAACGGTGATTTTTTCCATATCAGTGACTTTCTAAACAATTATTTTCCTTTTATTATGGATAATGACCGATTTCGTGCCTTTGCGCATCAAAATGCCTATATTTGCATACTAAACACTTTATTTTACGGCAAATGCGGCATTTTATGAGTAGTTTGTCGTATAATACAATGCTGCGTATGCATACACGTTGATGCGCAAATGCACGAAAATGGTCGGCGCGCCTACCGATCGGTCAGCTCGGTCGGCTGTCGGTCGGCGGGGTCGGTGGTCGGTAAATTTCCCGACCGAATGGAAGCCTTAGTTTAGAATGTTCTAGAATTCTCCAGAAGCCTTCAAGATCATCTAATAGTCAGAGCGTTCTTGAGACGTCTACAATTTTCTATTTCGACGGGCCCATCTATTCGCTTTTCCAAACTTTTAAGGGGGCTTTAGAACTTTCTAGATGGTGAAGTCTTTCGAAATTCTGGATGCTCTTCGAATGTTGGCTTGGCTACGGGGCTCCGATTTGTGATAGCTCTAAAAATGGAAGGTCCCTAGGAAGCTTTGAGTGAAATTAGGAACTAAAGAGATCAAGAATTTCCAATTTTCTAATTTCTAGAAACTTTCCAATTATTTCAGGAAGCGATCCTCGGTATTTTATTCAGCTCGTGTGTAGTATTCATATATTTTGAATCATCTGACAGAACCAGTTTCAATCTGATATGCCTCTCCAGAGCAATCAATAACATTATTGTGCTTCTCTTCAATTTTTTGGTCCTTGAGTTCCCTATACTTTTACTGTAAGGCACTTTTACCGTAAAACCTGTAATAGAAGGGCATCAATTTTGAGCTGATTTTACTTGGCTCCTGTGCAAGATATCAAAGATTTGTCTACTGATAAAAGTTTCGTGATGTTGTGATAAAAAATTTATCAGTTGACAACTTTTCCGTACCTTTGGCGGGTACCGAGATAAATTGGCTCAACGCGACAAGTTAGGGAGTCGTTCTATTACAGGCCTAACGGTATTTTTGTCCGTTTCAAATAGAATATTGTTTCAGCTACAAAAATATTCTCCCAGCGAAAATCGAAACTTTCATAATTTTCATAACAGTCAATTTATATATGGTCAATGAATTCCAAACTGTACTCATCGCAGCCAATCGATTCATTGCCATGTTTTTACCTCTGCTTTATCATCAACTTTGCAGTAACAAAATTACAATGGTATAATTTTGAATACCGCCGTAAAACCTTTAATACAAGGGCCCCATACTGTCAACTTTGAGCTTAATTATCTCGCTTCCTATGATAACTGATAAAATATTGGTTATATTATGTTTAATATATTATCACTTCACCGCTTTTTGATATCTCTCAAAAGAGTTGCAATAACTGAGCTTGAAGTTATAAGCTAGGGGCCTTTCTATCACAGGTTTTACGGTAATTGACTCTCGAAGAGTTTTGTGATTTTCAGGTTCTTCTGGGAGCACTTTACCTTGAGAGAGGATATGCGAGCATTTCAAAAATTTTAGAGCGTTTTGGTAGATGTAAACAGAAAAACTTAAATAATGTAAAAGTTTCAGCCGCCGACTGTGTCTTATTCTGGGATAGTTCCATTCTATCGACCGAATTCAATGATCCGATTTGTTGGGAAAAATTTCCACCTGGGTTTGACGGATTATTAATTATTATTGTTCCATTGGTATTTTTTGGAGTAACCATTCTGTTGAACCTGATGACGTTTGCGAAAATTCTTAGATTCTATCTTGTAGAACCAGGTTTTCTCATTAATTCTGAAATTAGTAATTTTCAGAGTCATAATATGGATTCAGAAAGCATGGTTTCAGTTAAGAACAATATAAAGTTATTCGTCCAAACTGTTCTTCAGGATTCATTATTTTTTGTAGACGTCCTGTTCACTTTCAAATTGAGCTCTCTGAGCACTCATCGAGCTTGGCTATTCATCAGTACCGTGTTTGTATGGGAGACAATTCACATGTTGGATGGGTAGGACAGACCGTAAGACCTGCAATAGAAGGGCCACCTAATTTTTAACTTTGAACTAATTCATCTTGGCTCCTGTCAAAGATATAAAAAAAACTGTCAACTGAAACAATTTTAGTGATGATATCACAAACATTTTATCAGTGAAAATCTTATTTTAGTCTTTGAAAAACTCAGATAAATAGGCTCAAAGTTACAAGTTAGTGAGCCCTTCTATTACAGGTTTTTCGCTAATTGTATTTTTTGAAAAATTACAAAAATTTCAGACTGATAATGCTGATGTTTTCGGATAGAGTGTCTATTTTGAAAGCTAAGCTTGGGATTAAGAAATCGAATCGAGTGAGTGGAAGAAGTGGACATTCGGATTTCAAGCCGGCACACACAATGCCAGAAATTGCATAATGACCCTCTGTTATTTTTTGTATAGCTGAAATGAACATTTTGTCGGATTACTCAGAAATTATACTTTCAAGAACAATTTGATAATCCAATTTTCTTCACACATGTTCTCTGACATGAGTGTACGTAAGTCAGTCCAGATATAAATTGAGTTATCTGAATCTGCACCGCTTAGACTTGGAGGAAGGCATTTTTAGCAAGAGCTGCATTTATAACTTTTGAGTATCAGCCAATCTTTAAGTGACAAGCTTCGACTACCTCTCAGACTATTTTAATGGACATTATGAACCTTGTAGCTGCTCTGGTCATTTTTTTGGTTTGATCTTTTTTCAGATAACATTTTGAACCCTTTATATTTTTCAGGAAGGCGTACTTGGAATACTGTTTAGTTCCTGTGTAATATTTATTTACTTTCATGGATCCTCTGATAAAACTAGTTTCAACTTGATATGTCTATCCAGAGCGATAAACAATGTGATTGTGCTTTCGCTGCATTTTCTGGCACTGGATTTTCCGACGGCATTGTTGTGAGTGTCTCACTTACCGTAATCACTCTGACAGAGTGCCACCCAAACCAACAGCTTTGAATTCATGTATCTCATTTCCTGTAAAAGATATCAAAAAGTAGTCAACTGATAAAATTTAGCTGATACTATGATAAACATTTTGTCTGTTAATCACTTTTTGATATCTCTTACAGAAAATGAGGTAGATAGCAGTGATGGGAGGAATTTCCGTTTCCGTTTTCCGTTTTCCGCTCGGTTGTTAGAGATTTTTTTCCGTTTCCATTTCTGCGGAAAAAAACATTTAAGATTCCGTTTCTGTAAAAGTGTAATTTTATTTCCGTTTCCGTTTCTGTTTTCCGGAAAAACCGCCATTTTTTACAGCGGAAACGGGAAAAAAAGTGAAAAACAACGAAGCATTAAACTGAAACTGGCTTGAAAAAAAGCATGGAAAGTGATGAAAATATGGTCTTTAAACTTTAAAAAGTGTACATTTTTATGTTTGAAGGGTAAAAATCCTGAAAAATAGACGAAAAATAGATATTTCCGTTTCCGTTTTAGTTTCCCGTTTCCCGTTTTCCGCTCGATTTTTGAAGATTTTTTTCCGTTTCCGTTTCCGCGGAAAAAAAAATTAACGATTCCGTTTCCGTTTACGTTTTCCATTAAACAATTTTAGTCTTTTTTTTTTCGTTTCCGTTTTCCGCGGAAAAAAATTATTTTCTGTTTCCGTTTTCGTTTTCCGTATTACGAAAAAATGCGTTTCCTCCCATCACTGGTAGATAGGACCAAAGTTGACGGCTTGGGAGGCACTCTATTAGAGTGTTTACTGTAACTTGGTTCCAATGAAGAACATTAATCTCATAGCAACATTTTGATATTTCTAGAGTTAATTTACCTATTGAGTGCATTCAGGTCCCGAAACGTCTGGCCCCCTGGAGTAGAGTCGATCATTATGAATGGAACTGTAAATGTCTACATTGTGAACGAATTTCAAACTATACTAATTGCAATTAACCGATTCATAGCAATGTTCGCGCCTGTTTTCTATCATAAACTTTTCAGCAATAAGTTGACTTTTGTGAGTTTCTAGAAGACAGTAACCAAGAAAGTGTTATATCATTTCAGCTATTCCTCCTATCTCTTTACCTGATCCGAGGGTACATTAGTGTCACTCAATTACATGATTATTTTGGTAAGGGCATCTTTGAATTAAAAAAAAAAACTGAAATTTGAAGTTTTCAGCCAACGACTGTCTTCTTTTCCTGAATCTCACTAGTTTTGGAGGTCAATACGTGAATTCAAGTTGTGATGCTCCATTTCCAACCGGCTTTGACGGTTGGTTCATAATCTTCTGGCCCTTTTGCTTGTTTGCTGTGAATGTCCTTCTGAATTTGATGACGTTCACCAAGATTCTGAAATTCTATTTGGTAATTGGAAAATTTTGTATACTTATTTTTTTTCTGTATATTTTTAGAATAGAGATGTGGATTCAGCGAACTTGGAGCCTATCAAGAGAAATATCAAGTTGTTCTTTCAAACGGTTCTTCAAGACTCATTATTCTTCATCGACATCGTTTTTACATTTCAATTGAGGTAAGTTTCAAAAAAGTGGTCCATAGTCAGATCCATAATTTCCAGCGGTCTGAGTACTCATCGTGCCTGGCAATTCATCAGCGTCGTTGGTGTATGGGGTGCAGTTTATATGTTGGATGGGTGAGTGTAGCAGCATACAAAAAGTAAACCAAATTTCAGCCTGATCATGTTGATGTTCTCGGATAGACTCACGGTTTTAAAATCGTCGCTGGGACTGGAAAGAAGTACAAGCAGAGTTAGCGGAGCTTCCTAAAGTATTTTCTTGAAAGTTGAAACATTTTCCCAATGAAACTTTTGTGTTAACTTTGGTGTATAACGTGATTTCTAGGTCACAAACCTTAAATGATGAACAAATCGCAGTCATATGGGTATACAAAATATGAATGGCTTAAATCTGGGGGGGGGGGGCATGAACGGCATGAACGAACTGTCTCGGTGTAAACCGATCACCGTACAACGCATGCTCTCGTTCTGAAAAAAAACCCAAAGCCTTCGGCTCTTTCCGGGAAGAACGGTCCGAATACGGGACCACCGTTCCCATCTTCGGACCGCCGGTCCCAACAAACTTCGACATCAGTCCCATTATTCCGACAACGGTCCCAACGTCCTGACAACGGTCCCAACGTCCTGACAACGGTCCCAACGTCCTGACAACGGTCCCAACGTCCTGACAACGGTCCCAACTTTCCGAGAACGGACCCAACGGTACGACAACGGTCCCAACCAGGCTTACAAAAAAGGTTTTTAGCCTAACAAAAAAGGCTTAAGTATGCTAAAGCACATTTTTCTGGCAATAAGGTGAACTAGGCGTTATATATTCTGTTGAAAAATAATGATATTTTCAGCAAATTATCAGCAATATTCTCAATTTTGTCGCTGAAATGTTTTTCTCTGTTTTCTCCGTAAGCCTGGTTGGGACCGTTGTCGTACCGTTGGGGCCGTTGTCGAAATTCTTGGAACAGGCGGTTCGAAGATGGGATCGGTGGTCCCGTTTTGGGACCGTTCTTCCCGGAAAGAGCCAAACCTTCCTCCCTTACCCCCGGCCAAGTTCTGGATGCTCTCAAACAACAAGTGCTGTTAAACTTCGATAAAATTCCTCAAACGATCGAGCAGTTTTTGTCTGGAGCTTTAAATTACGGCTTTCCGTAAACCCTCAGTACTTACCAGTGTTGAGCGGAAATACAATTTCACTTCACGGAAGACGGAAGACGGAAGAAGGAAATCCACGGAAGACGGAAATCTATTAATTAAACTTGGAAATTTTGAATTGGACAATACGTTAGAATCGAATATTAGCATCGGTTTTGCAGTTAGACGGATCCGCCGAAAGGATTTTGGAAAATTTCAGTAAAAATTCGACAAATCCTGGAAAATTTTAGTCTTCCATTTTTTGTGATTTTTCCGGACTTTACGGAAGAGGGAAGCCGGAAGACGGAAGCCGGAAGACGGAACGAAAAAAACCACGGAAGACTGAAGACGGAATTCCGCTCAACACTGGAATTTACAGTAGTGAGGTTATTGGTCTCCTCTGGTGCAGCAGAGATGGGCGGGCCTTCTGTGGGGACACATCATTATAGCACAATGCACAGTCTCGCTCTATTGCACTGCATCTAAAGAATGGGGAAATTGATTTTGCGGAAATCAATAAAGGTACCTTTAAAATCAATTATTGGCAAACCAGGCCGATTATTTCAGGTCACGGTTAGTTCTATAGTTGTGTGATGCCTGTGGTTACTCGGTCTATTTCCAATGCTCTGAAGAGAGAGAAATCGAAATTCCCATTATTCAAACTTCCGATGCTATGTGTCGAAGAAATTTTGTACCTGATTGAAATTCTAGATCTGTAAGTTTCATCATAAAAACAACTAATAATATTATTCTCCTAATATTTAGTATCCGCATCTCATATCTTTCTAAACGAACACATCGGATCATCAAATCGTTAAAAAGTGCTATAACAGATTTGAGAGTGTTTGAACTGGGCGAAGAATTTCTACTGCAATTCTATATCAAGGAAAAATTCGAATCCGTAGGAAACATCCGTGTGAACAATGGGTAAATTTAAGAAATCTTAATATAATTCACAAAGTTTAATATCATTTACAGGTTAGAACTACGCAACAAAAAATCTTTGAGCCCAACTGTCGTGTTGAGTTGGAAAAAAAGAGTCATCGATTACATGACTCAGCTTTTCAAAATACCCGTACTGATTTTGATTATTTACTCAGATAAAATTTCAGATGTATGTTTAGAAAACATAATATTTGATCAGGAATGCCAGGATTTGACTATCCATGGGAAACGACCGATCAATAATGGAACTTTGGAAAAAGTATTCGAGCTCTCCAAAAGTAAACGGATTATCATGCATGTGCCCATTAAGCCAGGTTTTCAATTGGACACTGAAAAAATGAAAGGAAGAAACATCAGTATCAAGGATGGGAGTTGGCTTAACTATAAGAGAGACAACAAGTTTATGGAATTGTGTACCAATTTCGAGTTAATGGATGATCATTTTGTAACACCGTTCCGCTTCGCATCTTTTGTGGACAAATGGATCAGGAGCGATGACAAACATTTTGAGAATTGCCTAGTTACATGGACAAATATAACCGTCGATGATGTGGATTTCAGAAACTTTCCATTTATTCCTTTTGATAGAAGTCAAAGAAGCCAAACGTACAAGTGAGTCGTTTTATATAATGCCATATGAAAAATAACCACTGGTCTGAAATATTAGATTAGTACAAACGTTTTAGCAACCCGAATGTGTTCTTCATTCAACCTAGAGACTAGTGATGGGAGGAATTTCCGTTTGCATTTCCGTTGTCCGTTTTCCGCCCGGTTTTTAGAGCTTTTTTTCGTTTCCGTTTTCGTACATGTGAAATTCTATTTCCGTTTCCGTTTCCGTTTTCCGGAAAAATCGCCAATTTTTTCAGCGGAAACGGAAAATAATGTAGGCTCGAAAAAAAACATGGAAAGTGAGGCAAGTATAGCCGTCAAACGTTAAAAAGTGTTTATTTTCAAAAAAAAAATAACGATTCCGTTTCCGTTTCCGTTTTCCGTAAAATGTTTTTACTCTTTTTTTTTCGTTTCCGTTTACCGCGAGAAAAAATTCCCTTTCCGTTTCCATTTTCCGTATTTCTGGAAAATGCGTTTCATCCCATCACTGGCTGATACCATCTAATGGTTTCAGCATTTTATTTGATATCTAATGTATTTAGAAGCTTCTGAAACTTCAAATATCCCTTTCGTAATGTGAATTTTTCAGATACAATAAAAAACTAGCGATTGATTTGGCCGAAGGTTATGATATCTTGCGAGGAGACGGAACGCTTGCGACGATTGGAATTTTGGAAGATGGATTCTTTTTCGGTGTTTGGCATAACCGATTTCATGAAATTGATGGTCAAGAAATCTGGATTTCTCGCAAAACTGGTTTATTCTGATAGTGAGAGTTATAAATAATACATGTTTTTATTGATGGATTGATTGAATAAAGTTTAGTAACACTTGACCGGATTTCTTGGATGTTTTTTGTACAAACTTGGAAATTATATAGATGATGCCCCAATTCTCCGCTTTTCGAAATGTTGATTTTGAAACCTTCTGGAGACGTTCCTTGGCTTCATCACAGTAAAAAGGGTGTTGGCTCTTTACATATGTTACATTAAAAAAACATCCTGCTCGGTGTAGTCCTCGAGTCTCCGTGAAAATTGGAAATGTTTTTTTCAGCCACTGCCTAATATCAGTTTCCTCAACTTCACCTGTTTCTAGGCTCGGGAATACGTACGTTTATGTTTTCAAACCTGAGTTTGTTAGAATATCAGTTTCAAAGAATTATTGAACGTTTTCAACTAGGCATTATGCTTGGAAGCCTATAATTGTGTCTATATAAACTACTTCGGATTTTGATTCTTTGATTTTTCCACTTACTTGGAATATGGACCTCTTTCCTCTGGTTGGCGCTTTTGTAATCTTCCTGGTGGGTCTAGTTAATTTCTATTAATTAAAACAAAACCATTTTGTAGGAAGCGTTACTGGGGATTCTTTTCAGTGCATTCATAATCTATCTATATTTTTCGGGAACTTCAGAAAATACCAGTTTCAGTTTGATATGCCTGAGCAGAGCAATCAATAATGTGTACGTGCTGGTTTTGAATTTCTTGGTTCTTTCGTTTCCACTCATTCTATTGTAAGGGACCTGTTGGAATGTCTAGATACAAATAACGCATTTCAGCTCAAAACACGTTCTTCCGATATCTATAGAAGCATTGATAGTCCCCTCGACTATCAATATTTATATCGTGAATGAGTATCATTGTGTTTTGATTTGCTTCAACAGATTCATCGCAATGTTCGCACCAATGTATTATTCCAGATTGTGCAGTGTCAAAGTTACTATGGTAAGTTTTCAATAGTAGAGAATTTGAAAAATTGGACTCTCAGGCGATCCTCGGAATCTTCTATCTGGAAAGAATATATGCCTCTATTTCCATAATCTACAGAATGTTTGGTTAGTGTAATTTTAAATTAGTTTCTTACTATAATCGTTCGTTTTAGTGTCATTTTAGAACTTCCAACTTTGATCCAATTTATCTTCGTTCCTGTCAAAGATATATAAAAAAAGGGTCAACTGATAAATTGATTATGATAATAACACAAACATTTTATCAGTTGGAAAATGTTTGATATCTTGCGCAGGGGCTAAGAAAAACCAGCTCAAACTTGACAGTGTGGGCCTTACCAGAGATGTCCGGATTCCGGATTCCGTGAAAAATATTTTCATCCGGATTCCGTATTCCCGATTCCGGAAAATTTTTATTTGTCCGGGTTCCGGATTCCGAGAAAATTAATTATTCCGGATTTTAAACATATTTGTTAATTTTCAAGAATTCTTTGATTTTTTTGAACTTCCGCTACTAAAAAAGCAAAAATAAGGCACGATATGTGTTTTTAGAAGTTTTCTGCCCATTTGGAGAACTCAAAATTCCGGATTCCGGGCTTTTCTTTATTCCGGATTCCGTATTCCGGATTCCGGAAAATTAATTTCATTCTGGATTCCGTGAAATTTTTATTTGTCCGGATTCCGACTTTCGGATTCCGGATTCCGTTTCTCAAAAAATTCATTCCGGACATCTCGGCGCCTCACTATTACAGATATTACGATATTAAACGTTGAAAAGTTTCGCAATTTTGAAGTTCTGAATTTTCAATGCGTTTTCGTGCCGAGAAACTTCCCAATGTTACCTCAAGATACTCCAAAGTTGATCATTAGACGCCACAATTTACCGAATTTCAGACAAAAATTGTCTTGCCACGCTTAGTCTCGATTATTTCGGACTCATGTACGAATATCCCACCTGCAACAAAGACATGAAGAATGGTTTCGATAGTCCATTAGTTGTTCTTGTTCCTTTGGCTGCGTTCGTGTTCACTATCGTTCTCAATTTAATCACTTTTGGGAAGATTATGCATTTTTATGTTGGGGTAAGTTTTCGTTTTCATTTGTTTGTGAACAAACTTTATACAGAAAAAAAGTATGGACTCTGAAAACTTGGTTGCTGTCAAGAACAACATTCGATTATTCTTTCAAACCGTACTCCAGGATTCTTTGTTTTTCATTGATATGCTCTTCACGTTCAAATTGAGCTCACTGAGCGATGGACGTGTTTGGGCGCTGATCAGTCAGATGCTAGTATGGGAATCGATTCATATGTTGGATGGGTAAGTTACACAATATTTTTCATGAATTATTTAACAATTTTAGATTCATCATGCTAATGTTTTCAAACAGACTGTCGATTTTGAAATCGAAAATTTTCAAGTCCAACCAAAACAATGTGGATAGAAGGATGTTTCAAATCGGAAGATCATCGAACACTCTTCCAGAAGTTGCATGAAGATCAGACTTAGATTTTTCGATATTCATAAACTCTTAGAATTTGTCGATGTCACAAGTAAAACAATTATCTTGATATTTGGTTCAAAACCAAGAATTAGGCTACACCAGGAAGTGACGGAGTTCCAGCAGGTCTTCGAGACCTTCCCATCCAAGACGACGATGAAACTTGATTATCTCGATCCATTATTCTTGCAAATTTAGCTCTCAAAGTTGATACGCGATCCGAGAACATCAACATTATCAATCTGAAATTTGAGTTTTAGCCAACTTATCTCATTTCCTGTGAAAGATATCAAAAAGTGGTCAATTGAAAAAGTATTTATCATAATATTCCAAATGTTTTATCAGTTGACTACTTTTTGATATCTTTCACAGAAAATCAGCTGTATCGACTCTAAGTTGACTGTTTGTGACCTACCCATCCAAACTATGAATTGACTCCCAAACAAATACTGTGCTAACAAAAGCCCAAATTCTACTATCACTGAGTCTGCTGTAAAAAGAACGTTTGACAAAATTGTAGAAAAAAAAAAGTTGGTACCTCAGCTTGAAGGTAAAAACAGCATCGGTCAGAAATAGGGAGTCTTGAAAAACGGTTTGAAAAACAATCGAATGTTTTTTCGAGCCAAGGAGGTGCTCTCCGAGTTGGAATTGTTGCTCTGAAATTTCAAATTGTTGTAGCCTGAACCTTTGAAATAAAATAAAAAAACTTACAAAATAGAAAATAAGGATTTTCCCAAAAGTGAGCAAATTCAAAACAACACTAATTGATAAGAAGATAGAAGGCATTAGAACGATTAGATTAGAATCTACTGGGAGGGATTTCGAGCAATTTCTAGCATCATCTATGAATGGTGTAAAAAACGTGTCGCTGTCGAAACGGATAAGGCAGTCAAGATCTGAAAATTTACTTCCAGTTACATGAAAATCTCGAACAGAAAGGTTTCAAGATATTGTCGAAAGGCTACCGTAAAACCTCTAATAGAAGGGTCCCCTAACATTTAACTTTGAGACAATCTATCTCGATTCCTGTTAAAGATATCAAAAAGTGGTCAACTGATAAATTGTTTATCATAATATCATTAACATCTTATCAGTTGACTACTTTTTGATATCTTGCATAGGAACCAAGATAATTGCGCTCAAGCTTAACAGCGGTATTCTAAATAAAGACTCACTTATAAAAGAATAGAGTTTGGTGAATGTCTCATAACCTCTTTGAGCATAGAGTGCACCCATAATTACCTGCAAATTACCATTTTAGAAAAGATTTTAAAACCTCCTCACCCAAGTCACATGATTACTACACAATGCTTTATAGCGAAACGGCAAATAGAGAGCGATAAATCTGTTCAAGGCAATTGCCACAGTTTGGATTTGATTCACCAGATAAACATTTATAGTTGAGGTTATTATCACAGTTTCAATGATAGCTGGATAGAAGTTTTCGGAACTGAAAAGTCGTTTTTTGTTGCCCAAATTATCCAAAACTCACATTAAAACCACTGGAAATGTGAGCAACAAAAAGTTAAAAGCCAATACTATAATGTTATTGATAGCTCTGGTTAGACAAATGAAATTGAAACTGTTCTTATCCTGTGATCCATTGAAATAAAGATAAACTACACAAACGTTGAAACCAGATCCCAATAAACCATTCTGAAACAATTTCTCTTTTTGTTTGGGTTTAGGAGGGTCCTTAACTTTAAATTTAAATTTTAAGCCAGTTTATCTCGATTCCTTTAATAGATATCAAAAGTCCGTAAACTGATAAATTGTTTATCATTTTATCAAAAACATTTTTGTCCGTTGATTACTTTTTGATATATTCTACCGTAACCGAAATGTATACGCTCAAACTTGACAGTGTGGGAGCCCTTGACTTACCAGTAAAACTAAAACCGAAGCGATTTTGCTCAGAAAATCCATTTTTGTGAAAAAACTAAAGAAATTTTGAAACGGAAGTTTGCAAAAAAACGATAATTGAAAGTTGTGTCCGATCAGAAAATTTTGAAATTATAAACTGCGAAATTGGAAAATTTGAACCTATGGCAGATGGAACTTTGCTCTCATGCAGGTGGAATTTTCCAGACAAATGGTGAAAATATTTGAAGTTTCACTAGGAAGAGATATTTTAGGAACATAATTATTTTTAAGGACCCAAATTGTATAATAATTTGAAATGATTTATAGGCCTTTCTTGGGATTCAAAACCCTATAAAAATAGCATATTTCATTCTAAAAAAGTTTAATTGAACAAATCAAAATTTCATAATGAAGGATTGTGGTTCTTTTGAGCCACATAACTCCTAGGAAAGTCTGAAATTAAGATGGAGATACATTTTGTCCTTAAGAAGCCTGGAAAATTAGTATTTTCCGGAATATTTTCCTCCGGAAAAAGACCAGCCAGGGTTCGAAAACCCCTAATCAATCTTTTTAAATCCCAAATCTCAACGAAATCAGGTAAAAAATGTTGAAGTCCAGCGTAATTATTGGAGCTCAATTATCTCAATTCTTATGCAAGAGCAACTTTTTTATATCTTTGACAGGAACCGAGAAAAATATACTCAAAGTTATAGGGGGGGGGGGGGGGACCTTCTATTGCAGGTTTGACGGTATAAGCTTAAAGTTGACGGTTTGTGCGCCATCCTATTAGAGTGCTTACAGTTTAAGATAATGTAGGTTTTTTTTTTTAATTTTAACATTTCAATTTTCTCTCCAGTCAATGTTCAATTAGCAATTTCAGAAACCTCCAATTACCAGGAATCAGATTCTACAAACCTTCAGTTATCACATCACACCAAAAACTATTTTACAGTGAACCCATATCATCATTGCATTTCACTTTTTCTCCTATCTCTCTAACTTCCTTCTTTTTTTCCTGCAAGTAACCTTGAGAACCCTTTCTCCACGAAAAAAAAGCCTCTGAAAAATTGTACACAAAATGAGACAAAGAGAGAAGACAGAAGAGAAAACAGTTTACACTTTTCCAGGTAAACTTTTTTCTAGCGTCTCTCTAATTTCCGTACTATTTCGCTATCACAACGAGAGTATAAAATGGTGTTGGGATTGGGGGAAAAGTCACAGTCGTCCTCTTCTTCTGTCTATTCCAATCATGGACATGGAACTGCAAACTCGTCTGAAAGCATACCGCTTCATTGCTTACTCAGCAGTCACTTTGTCTGTGGCAGCTGTTTTTGGAGTGAGTTAATTATTTTTTGAAAATTTTCGAATTCTAAACGAATTGATTTCCAGATCTGCTTCACCCTTCCAATGCTCCACAACTATGTGGAGGGAATGAAGAGCCACGTGGATAAGGAGTTGGCTCATTGTAGACACACCACTGCTGACATCTTCTCGGAAATGGCTCACATCAAGAAGGCTAAGAACGGAACCCGATTCGCTAGACAAGCTGGCTATGGAAACGACGCTGTTGAGTACGAAGACGACGCTGCTGTTGAAGTTGCTCCATCTCAAGTCTCCGGAGGATCATGCTCAGGATGCTGCATGCCGGGACCAGCTGGACCACCAGGACCAGCCGGACGTCCAGGAAAGCCAGGAAGACCAGGAGCATGCGGACAACACGGAAACCCAGGAAAGCCAACTGGTCTTCCATGCGACCCAGTCACCGTTCCACCATGCAAACCATGCCCACCAGGAGTCCCAGGAGAGCCAGGACACGATGGAGCTCCAGGAGCACCAGGAAAGCCAGGATCACCAGGAGTTGGAGGAGGAGCCGGAGCACCAGGAGCACCAGGACCAAAGGGACCATCAGGAGCACCAGGACAGCCAGGAAGAGACGGACAACCAGGACATCCAGGACAGCCAGGAGCTAGCTCATCTGAGCCAGGACAGCCAGGACAAGCTGGACAACCAGGACCACGTGGACCACCAGGAGCCGCCGGAAGCCCAGGAGGTAACGGACAGCCAGGAGGTCCAGGACAACCGGGATCCCGCGGAAACGACGGACAGCCAGGAAACGATGGAGCTCCAGGAGCACCAGGACAGCCAGGACAATCCGGAGGGGCTGGAGAAAAGGGAATCTGTCCAAAGTATTGCGCCATCGACGGAGGAGTCTTCTTCGAAGACGGAACTCGCCGCAGACGTTAAATTTTGGAATACTGAAATTACGAATAGAGAAAATAAAGACTTTGACAATAGATTTATGGTTTTATTCATTTTTTTGTGCAAATAATTAAATTCAATTCAAGGTATTCAAAACACGGATTTTTTTTTCTTTTTACAGTTGATAATTTGATAACTTTTCCTGCCTGTCATGTTCGAGCACATTAATTCCAACTCCCCGACTTTTCCGATGAAAAACCCAAAAAACTATTGCTCTTTTGAAACCGAGTATCTAGGAACAACTGAGAACTACAAATTGGCTCTTCATATTTTATCTTGTATCAATACCCCGATTTTCATTTATGGCGCTTGGTGTATCATATTCAAAACGCCTGCAAAGATGGCTTCCCTCATAAATGTCATCCTTTGGTCTCACTTTTTCAGCGCACTTTTGGATTTGTCTCTGAGCGTTTTTGTGGTTCCTTATGTGTTGCTTCCAAAATTTTCTATGTACGCGTTGGGATTTTTAAACTATCCCCAGTTTGATTTTTATTATTTACTAACAATAGTTTCATGTAAGTGACTTACCGTATTTGACTCCAATTGAATGACCCCCTTAACTTTAAGCCGGTTTATCTTGCTTGATGTGAGAGATACCAAAAAAATGTCAACTGATAAAATATGTATTCTAATATGAACATTATTTTATCAGTCGAACAATTTTTCCAATTTTTGATTTCTGTCACAAGAATCGAGATAATTGAGCTTAAAGTTTGAAGTTGCGTAGGTCATTATACAGACCAGTGATGGGAGGAAACGCATTTTCCCGAAATACGGAAAACGGAAACGGAAAGGGGAATTTTTTCGCGGAAAACGGAAACGGAAAAACATCTTCGAAAATCGAGCGGAAAACGGAAAACTAAAACGGAAACGGAAATTTCTGTTTTTCGTCTATTTTTCAGGATTTTTTCCCATCAAACATGAAAATAAACGCCTTTTCCCAAATTACGAAAAACGGAAACGGAAACGAAAAGGGGAAGACTATATTTGCCTCACTTTCCATGCTTTTTTTCGAGCCAGTTTCCGTTTAATGTTTTCGTCAACTTTTAAATGTTTTTTTTCCGTTTCCGCTGAAAAAAATTAGCGATTTTTCCGGAAAATGGCAACGGAAATAGAATTTCACATTGACGGAAACGGAAAAGGAAACGGAAACGTATATCTTTTTCCGCGGAAACGGGAACGGAAAAAAAATCTTTAAAAACCGGGCGGAAAACGGAGAACGGAAACGGAAACGGAAATTCCTCCCATCACTGATACAGACAGTATACCGTCAATAGAATGAAGTTTGAACTCAATTATCTCATTTTCTGTTAAAGATATCAAAAAGTGATCAACCAGTAAAATTTTGGTGTTTTTATGATAAAAGTTTTGTCAGTTTATCACTTTTTGATATCTCTCCTAGAAAATGAGATAATTGAGTTTAAATTGAACATAAAGGGTGGTCTTCTATTAGAGCGTTTACGATTTAAAGCAAAAATTAGTGCCTTTATAATTTCCAGTTGCTGCTCTTGCAATCGTAATGATTTTTGAAATTCAATATTATGTTTTATTTGCCCGAAATGAAAATCCGTTCTGGTGCACTATCAGAAAACCGTTTTTGATTTTCGACCATTTTGTTGGATTACTTTTCATTATTCCTGTTTAGCTGGAAGCCCCGAATCAATCTGTTGGATTTGCATCTATAGACGGAGCAGCTGTTTCGAAATTCTCGAAAAATTTGAAAAGTTAATTTTCAGATCCTTCCATGTATGCCTCAATTGTACATTAACGATCGCAAACTTTTTGTGGCATTTTTAGATTTCAAGTTGTCATTTGCCAGTGTTTGCTGGCAGACCGTTTTCCTGTCTTCTCAAGTTTTCACTTTTTTGGCTGTTATTCTTTACAAGCTAAGAAAGCTTGAACGGCAAAACAAGTGTTCAAGCAGAACAGAATCAATGCAACGGAGGCTTATTATCGCGCTGTTCAGGTAATGTGGCTTCTAACTTTGATTCAATTTATCTCGGTTCCTGTGAAAGATATCAAAAAACAATCTGCTGATAGTTTGTTTATCATAATATCCCCTATATTTTATCAGTTGACACATTTTTGATATCTTCCACAGCAAATGAGATATAAGGGTTAAAAGTTGACAGCTTGGGGAAGGAGGCAAGTGTTTAAGGCATTACGAAAACAACGGTATTTTTGCAGACAGCAATTCCAATTTCATTAATTTTGGCTCCAATCGTGTATATATTAGTGACTGCAGAACTCAATTATTATAATCAGTCTTTTACAAATTTCATATTCTTGGCAGTGGCTTCGCATGGAACAGTGTCCGCCTTGATTTTTATACACAAACCCTATCGAGATGCAACCTGGAATTTGTTTCGATGGTTTTCGAAAAGATAAAGTTTTCCGGGCGAAGCTTTGTAAGCTTCTAGCTTTATTTCTCATGATCTATTTATTTTTAAGAAACAAGATATATTTAAAAACAAGGGAATTTATTTAGAAAATAACAAAATTCATTGAAAAGTGCCAAATATACAAGCAAAATTGGTTGATTGAGGGGAAGTTAAATATTTTGAAAACTAGCTAGTTCTCATCATCTATTTTCTTCCGGCGTAGGCTCCTCCAGCTGGGGCAGCTCCGGCGTATCCTCCTCCGATTGGGGCTCCTCCTCCGATTGGTCCGGCTCCGGCGTATCCTCCTCCGATTGGTCCTGGTGGTGGTGGCGGTGGTGGTGGAGCTCCGGCGTATCCTCCGGCGGCTGGGGCGGTGGCGTATCCGGCTGGTGGTGGTGGTGGGGCTCCTCCTCCGCATCCTCCTCCGCAAGCTGGGGCTGGTGGTGGGCAGCAACCGCCTCCTCCTCCGAGGGATGGGAGGGAGAGTGGTGGGAGTTGTGGGAGTGGTGGGAGACCACCTCCACCTCCGCATCCGCATGGTGGTGGTGGTGGTGGTGGAGCACATCCGCATCCACCTCCTCCGGATGGGAGAAGGAAAGCGCTAGTGACCGAGACGGCGGCGAAGGCGATGATGAGTTTTTGCATGGCTGAAAGATAAGAACAGTTGGAAGAAGTTGTGTAAGAAGAAAAGAAATGAGATGCGAAAGGTGAAATTCGTTGGATATTTATATATTTAGAAGTGAGCGGAGATGAAAAGCAAAAAAAAATCTTCAGATGCTTCCTTCTCAAAAGCCTCGGAAGCTTTA